TGTGTGGTACACGGTTGTGTGTGTGTGTGAATGTGTGTGTGTCTGTGCATGTGTGGTACATGGTTGTGTGTGCGTGCATGTATGTGTGTGGTACACAGTTGTGTGTGTGTGCGTGTGTATGTGTGTGGTACACAGTTTTGTGTGTGTGTGTGTGGTACATAGTTGTGTTCAGCTGCCCATGGAGGCCAGGAGAAGGTATAGAAATTACATGTGGAGCTAGGAACCAAACTCAGGTCCTCCAAATTAGCAGCAATCACTCTTAACCTCTGAAACATCGCTCTATCCCTTTATGTGTGTGTAGAGGCTACCATGTCAGAACCCCCTGATGGATTAGTTTTCGCTGATTTTCTGCTATAGTTTGATGAGCAGGTAGGTGGATTCACAGCTGTAACTTAGGTCGGCAGAAGTAGCTTGAATATACCTGTGCTAGCACTGTCTTTGCCATCACTAAGAAGACAGAGAGACTGTTGTTTCCTGGCAATTCCGCCAGGTAAGTTCTACAGCTCATGAGCATATCTCCAAAAGCTCCTGAAGTACCCTTAATCCATGTTTACTGTTGGTCAAAACTGATTTGTCCAGAACCAACCAGAACCAACCAGATGTTGGATGTGATGCTCCCAAAAGGAAATATCTGAGCGTCCTGTGTGGATATGGACGTCAGGTCCCTTCTGTTAGCAGGGGCCACTCCTCCTTCCATCCTTGACAATTCAGGAGCCAGTTCTGTGGTGTGTGGATGACCGAATAACAAGTGGCTTGGAAACCCATGTCCAAGAGAGCAGAAATGCTTTAGTTGCAAGTGCCTTGTGTGTGTCATATATACACAGGCAATTTTTTTCCTTGCATTGTGTGCTTCTTTTTTTTTTTTCTTTTAAAGAATAATGTGTCGTCTTCAAAGCTACAAATCCTTAATAATTTCAAGCCAGCGCCAAGAAGCACGAAGCATTTAGTCAGTGATGTGTATTCCCTGTTGGTCCTGCTCAGAATCCTAAAAATACCAGAGCTGCTGGTTATTTTGCTGTGGGGTAGAAGCTCTTAAGCATTTCACCTGTGGTAGATTGCCTCATGACCTAGCAGAGCTTCCTCCATGATGCCTCCTTCCCTTTCTCTGTCCCTCCACCCTCTCTTCTTCTTCCCAACCACACACGGACACATACACAGATGCACACACACACACACACACACACACACACACGCACACGCACTCACACGCACATACGTGCATGCATGTACACATACTTGCAACTTCACATACCATTTTGGACGGGGAAATAGAGTTCAGGTTGCACGGTACAGTATTTCTACAGAGACAGCATCACTGCTCTTGCTTTGGAAACTTAAATGCTATAGTTTCTCACTTGTGCTATCCTTAACAGCTCTGTATCTCTCTCTCCCTCACCCACCTTTTGCTATCGACAGAGCCTGAGCACCAGAGAGTCCAGCTTCCTCATCTCTAAAGAGCCACAGTCACTGGTAAGCAGTAAGCCATGCTTCCTTTCCTGGGTACACACACAGGTGTCCTTCTGTGGCCTGAACAGGGGCTACTGTCACCTAAATCTCAGGTGCTCATGTGTGGTATCTGTGAATGTATTACTTTTAGGAAAATATTATTTATTTAAGAAAAAATTACCACTGTCACCTATATTAAAGGAGTCTAGTTTGGTATTATTCAGGTTCCCCATTTGTCAGACTTGAGTCAGTGATCTCTCACGAGCTCCGGTCAGCTGATTCTGTGGGTTTCCCCATCATGGTCTTGACTCCTTCCTTTATATTATCGCTCCCCTCCCCCACTTTGATTGTACTCCAGGAGCCTGACCCATTGGTTAGTCGTGGCTCTCTGCATCTGCTTCCATCTGTTTCTGGAAGAGGGTTCTAGCTTCTCTGAGGTTGTGGGTTGTAAGCTAGGTATCCTTTGCTTTATGTTTGGTATTATTCTTATCAGTGAGTACATACTATATTTGTCTTTCTGGTTTTGGGTTACCTCATTCAGGCCACTGGCGGTGGGTCCAAGATCTAACAGTAATGCATAAACTGGCTTAGTGGGGCCCATTCTATATGGAGTGATACCATGCTCAGCCTAGACACAGGGGTGTGCAGGGTGGAGAGATGCCTTAGTCCTGCTTCAACGAGATGATGGGACAGACTTAGTAGGCTTCCTAGGGGAGGCCTTATACTCTCCGAGGAGCCGATGAGAGGTAAGGGGGAGGTGGGGGAGGGAATCTGGTGGAGAGGATCAATGCCTAAGAATAGTCATAATTTAAACTTTAAAAATTAAACTTAGATCCAACTCAGAAGCTATCGAACTTTAAATTCGATTAAGTTTAAGTATTTGTTTTTATTTGCCGAATAAAATAAGTAAGGGTGATGTTTGGGAAGACAGGAAATGGAGTTGAGCTGTCCTCCGTTTCCTCTGATACTGTCTTTGGACATCCTTAGTAGTCATGCCTCCTCTGCACCTCCTGGTTGAGAGAACTCTGAGAACTTTCTTATATCTGGTGACCTCTGGTGTTGATATCATCCTTTTACTTTGTAGAGTGCACCTCAGCTACTTCCTAAGGTGTTTCTCACGACTCAGACTGGGGATGGAGAAAGTGAAAAAATGCCACCAGCTTTGTAGCCTGTCCCGGGCACATTGTGATGCTTTAGCCTTGATTATGGCTTAAAGTGGGGTTGCCCAGCTTTCTCCACTACAATGTTTCTGTATGTTTCTCTTGTCCTGTGCTGTACTAATCTGTGGGTCAGTATGCCGTGTGCACATAAGGGCTAGAGGTTGTGCTTAATTTTAAAAATAGCTGGAGATAATGACATTTTTTTTTTTTTTACCGTCACTAACAGTGTCAAAGCTTGAACCCAGGGCCATTGAGAAAAATATTCTACCAGTAAGCCACATGCCCCTTCTGTGGCCTCTCATTTCTCCCCCCCCCCACTTACTCTGCATCAATCTGTAGACATTTGTTTTATATCTATGTTATAAACTCAGCGATACTTTATTTCATTGCATTGGAGATCTTTTTAGTGATGCGTGTATAGCTTGGATACACTCCATTATCGTGTTTTGTTTTATTTCTAGTGTTTTCTTCACCTAGATATTACAAGATACTGCAAGTTCACCTCATATAGTTCTTGCCTTTATCCTAGAATGAATCCCTACTGGAGAACAATTGTTTCATTGCAACCAATGGTTGTGGAGTGTATCTGTATCAGTCAATATCTCCTTAGACATATTCAGAGTAGAATGATTTAAGGGGCACTTGGACAGACAGACTGCCAAAGGTGCAGAAGATTCCCAACATACACAGGTATACCAGCCATGACCCCAGTGCTGGAAAGGGACTGTTTCCAGAACCCAGAAGAGAAAGTCAAGTTCACAAGACACTCTTGAATTTAGGCATAGGAAGAGGATGAGGGTGGAGGAAAGCATTCTGGCTTTTGGTTGGAGTATCATTGGGCTATTTTCTTTTTCTAAAATAAATGTAAGAATGTTTTTAGAATTCACATTCCCTTCTCCTTTCTTTAATAGCCCATATTTGTGTGTGTGTGTGTGTGTGTGTGTGTGTGTGTGTTCTCCTGAAGAAATAGTTTCTTGTATCAATGTAAGAGACTCTGATTTTCTTCTGCTGAAACAGCTTTCAGTTGTGTTTAGTCTATGTCCACTTTGGGTTAACTTTCATCACACACACACACACACACACACAGACACGTCACCACGAGCTGCTTAGGCCTCCCCAGCATTGAAACAAACCTCCCTGCAAATTACTGAGTTCCTTTAATGATAATTGATTTACATGATCGTTTGCCCTCTCCTTTTAATCAAATTCGAGCAGCATGGGCCTTTGGATGCTATGGATTTGATTTTTTTTTTTTTTCAAGTTTCCTCCTCACAGCACTGAGGATTTGGTGTAGGGCCTTGGGCCTGTTGTGCACAAGCTTAACCAGTGATTTCTTTCAGACGGTGTTCACTCTCCCCGGTAACTGCAGGTAATTTTCGGTAATAAAAGATTGAAGAAAAGTCATTATTTCGTTAATTGCTTTTTCCTTTTCTGCTCAGTATTTGGAGAAGTCATAGAGTGGTTAAAAAATAAAATTAAGTCCTATGCAAACTGTTTTTTCTTTTTCTTAGTCTCTTGGAGACAGAGTCTCGCTCTGTTCCCTGGGCTGGTTTGGAATGCTGTTTCAGCCCTGCTGGGATTGTAGGTGTTTATCACCACATTGTGCTGTGATGTAAATACCCCACACTATGAGTCACCCAGAACAATGTCAGGGTTTTGCTATACTTGTTGGCAGAAACATATTTATTTACCAGACTACACTGCTTTACATGCAAACCTGTTTTAAAAGTTGTCTTTACAAAGGGTTTGTAAGATGAAGACCTTTCTCCTTTTTTGTTGTTTTCATTCTCTTTCTTCCCATTCTTCCCCCTTCCCTGTTGACGTCCTCTGCTAGTCGACTTTCTACGTTGTAGACACACACTGAAGGCCTGTTCTGTGCCGGGGATGGGGCTGTCAGTCCTGTGGTGTGTATGATGCTTGAGGGGTGCCAGGATGCCCGGGAACAAACAGAAGCAGAAGTGGAAAGTTCATCAGCATTCCCGTAGCAGAGCAGCAGCAGCAGCAGACAAGATGCACACGGGATTTCTGAGGGGCGGCACCTACCAGGCATTTTAGTGTCATGGTGGTTTGGAATAATTAATGCCGGGGCTTGTTGTAGTTAGCAGCGCCTGTTGAGGCAGAGCAAGCCTTGCTAAGTCAGAAGGATCTCAGGACCATCACCTGCTCTAACCTGACATCCACTCTGTGAAGCTATGATAAAAATTCTTCCTGGGTAGATGGTGGCTGTACTCGGAGGAAGCAAACCCCTCCTCTGAGGGAACAACAGCCCTACGCCGAGACTGGAATGTTTCAGCATAGCCAGCCACCAAAGAGTAGCTTTATTCATGTGTGCCTGTGTGCTGGAATCTTGAACCCTAGCGGATTTGTGCTCACTCTCCATTGGTTGCTTTACAGCCTCAGAAGCGGTTCAATTTGTTCCTGAGGAGGCGTCTTATGGTAAAACGGTGATGGCTGCTGATGCCTGTGCCCGAGTGTCTGTTGTAACAGCCTGGTGCTTTCAGAACTCTGAATTCAATCCCATGAATGCCATACACACTGGGGGAAGGGGGGTCTGGATCACTCATTCCCAGTTCCCGGGCAGCGACATTTAACCATGGTGATCCTTAATCTTTTCCACTGGATGAGCCCTCTTTCTCAAAGTATACATACAAACACATTTACACACAGACACTGTAAGTAGGTTCAGAGGCTCAAGAACCATCAGGAATATAAATTATAGTAAGCTAAATCCTACCTGGGTATTGCTTCGTAGTAACTGGGCATCTCCAAGGACTATATATACATATGTACATATGTATATTATATATATACATATATGTGTATGTATACTAAAGTGTGTTCTTTATGTCATGTTTTCATAAAAATAAAAGCATGGTTACAGCTGTCTGTAAAAAAATGAATGGATTTTTTTCTGCTCCATTTAGCTCTAATCAGTTTTTGCTAAGAATCTGAAGACTTAGGGCTGGAGAGATGACTTAGTGTTTATTAGAACTGGCTGCTCTTATAGAGGTTCTGGGTTTGAACCTCAGCAACACATGGTGAGTCACAATCATCTCTTAACTCCAGTCCTAAAGGAACCCTAGGGATTGCTCTTCCAAACAATAAGAACTCTCCTAAAAACATCAATGCTTTTTTTTAAAGCTTCTAATATGCAAAACTTGGTTGTCACAGAACTGGAGAAGCATGGATATTATTTTGCTTCCTGACTTTGTCCTTTGATTATATGCAGACTAATTCTGTCTTTGTTGTCAGTTGGCTTCCATACATTTTGGGGAATTTTATCAATTATGTTAATTTTATAATGATGTACAACAGTGCCAGTGAGAATTTTATTTAGTTTTCATTTTTTAAAACTGGGTTATAACCAACATATAGGAGCTCAATTTTTCTCAGGGTTTTTACATTCCTTTACAAAAAAGGAGAAGCTGTGGGTCGTTTTTGTTTGTTTGTTTGTTTGTTTGTTTTTTGTTTTTTGTTTTGTTTTTTTTGAGACAGGCAGATAAATCAAGCCTGTTGTTTGAGTTCCAGTATTCTAATAGTCTCTTCTCCCTAAATATTTTCTTTGTTCATTTCCCCAGTCTTACCCTCATATCCCTTGAGAGATTGTTTCTCCACCACCACAGCCACCAGGAACCCACAGATAAACAGCATTACTGTGTTCACAGACCACAGATCAAGCATGAGGTTTTCCGTCCTGTTTGTGGCTGAGTACCACTTGTCCCTGTTATGGGGACTCTCAGCTGGGCCAACAAGCGCAAAGCATCATGGGCCCTACAGAAGATGCTCAGGAACTACCGGGTGTACCTACCGAGAAAAATCAAGGGAGCCAGCTGAGAAAAATCAAGGGAGCTAGCTCCCACCCACCAGTTCCAGGAAGCAGCTGGAAGACCTCCCAGCATGGTGCTGAGCTTCTCACAAGGGGCTGTCGCTCAGAAGTACAAAGTACTATACTTTTCATACGAATTGGCGAGGAATGTAAAACCAAACATGAAATCTCTTTTTTTCACCCTGAAATGCTCAGTATTGTGGGTTTTTGTTTCTGTTTTGCTGTCACGAAAGGGGAGGAATTCATGAGCTGGATGTCATGTAAAAGGTGAAAGTCTAATTTTGATTATTAAATTGAGAAAAACCATAAAGAAAAGATGGGTTGTGGCTCTCTTGAGACACTGATGACAGACATTTGTAGGGCTTAGACATGGTGAGGTCGCTGGCCAGCTACCTGCTTCTGATCCTTCCTTCCTTCACTGCACCATGAGTTTTGATTGTGCTCTGGGAGAAGTGTGCACGGTGCATTGCTTAGTAGACTAGTTGGTGTGGTGTTTAATCAAAACCACACATTTCTGTCTGAGCATGCATTTTACTGTCAGTGCCTAAGTACGCTCACCTTATATTTTGGCCTAACCGCAGCATTTTTGTGAGAGCATGTGCTTAATGTGTTTAAGCATGTGATTAATATGTGTCAGCTTTTCCTGGGTATATATCATGCAGTCCTCTCTGTGGAGTTTTACGTTATGAAAGGGACCGAATTTCTGTTGTCTTTTGCCTTGACTTGCTGTGTCAAGTGTGGAAAAAAAATTGGTCAAATTGGTTTGCAGCTACTTCCCTTTGTGTTTTTTGCCTTCCCGGATTGAATACTAATGTAAAACCATGTCATTTGTGTCTTCTACAGTTCCAGAGAAGCGAACAAAGCAAAGACTCCATCTTCTTCCGAGATGGAGTTAGGCAGATTGACTTTGTCCTTTCCTATGTGGACGATATGAAGAAAGATTCAGATATAAAGGCCGTAAGTGCTTATTTGAGAGAGGCAGGGAAGAGAGATGAGTATGTGGCCTACCAGCTGACACTCATTTCCTGAATGTTTTGGAGATAATGACATCAGCAACTTCTTTCTCCTCCCCTTCTCTCTTCCTCCCTTCTCTTCCTTCTCTTTCAATGTGACTGCTATCCATTTCATACACCGTCCTTTAGACAGGAAGTGTGACCCCCACAAATAGAGGATTCATCTCTGAATCTAGGGTACTGGTCCTCAACCTTCCTAATGCTATGATCCTTTAACACAGTTCCTCTTGTTGTGGTCGCCCCCAACCACAAAATTATCACGTTGCTGCTTCGTAACTGTGATTTTGCTACTGTTATGAACTGTAATCTAAATGTCTGGTATGCAGGGTATCTGATGTGTGACCCAAGAGGTCATGAACCACAGGTTAAGAACCACTGATCTAGTGTCTCCTTTTAATGTTTATGTACAGTTTTCATCTTCAAAGCATATGGTCAATCAATCTAATTTTTTTTTAAAAAAAAAAAAGCAGCTTTTGTACTAATCTCTAATCCTGACTTGCTCCACGTGTGTAGAGATTTTCCTATATGTACATATATGTGCAGCTATTTATTTGTATGCTGAAATGTTATACAGGTAATAACTTGAAAACTGAGTGTTATCCCTACAACCTGAACTTCCTTAGCTTTGCATCTTTCTACCTTGTTCCAGAAACCATCGGCTAATGCCTCTGCAATTCATAGACCATCTTTGTGTCTTTGTATATCTTCTGTGGACGACCCCTTCACGCCCTGTTTCTCATAACCATCTTCCTTTTCAATAGGGACAGCACAGGCTGTTGACTTTATTCTTTCCCTTTTCTTCCTGAAATTCCTGAGTTTTGAATCTCATCAAGTTGAGTTCACTGTCATTTACCCACCCCCAGGCCTTCCCGTATTTCTACCACTGTTCTCTGAGCTTCACTGTGGCTCTCTCCTCCACCACTCCATTCCGATGACCCATAAACACAGTGCGTGTGTGAGTGTTTATTTGGGCATTTGTCATTTCTGTTCTTAGATGACCTTTACCAATCTTCTTAGCTTTTACTTAACCACCTGTTCTCCTAAATTATATCCCAGCAAGTGATTGTAACTCTGTAACTTCTCTCCATTGGTCTGTTTAATCCACCTCTCAATTAGTGCTTGTCCATGCCCTTTTTTCACATACAGTCCAGAAAAGATACTATTATAGTGCCATATTTTTCCTTCCTACCTTCCTTCCTTCCTTTCTTCCTCCTTCCCTCCATCCATCCATCCATCCATCCATCCATCTCTCTTATTTCCCTCTTTCCTTCCTAAACTTTCATTAGCAGATATTGATTATGGAATGTGTGACATCCATTCTCATACATTCATATAACATGCGTTGATCATGTTCACCCAGTCTATTTATTTCTCCATTCCTCTTTCACCCCTGTCAAGCCCCTCCCCGACTCCACAGACAGCACTTGTTTTGGTAGTCCAGCTTTCTTCCCTTAACATGATGATCTCCAGTTTCAAGTATATTCGTGCAAATGACATTATTTCATTCTTCTCCATTCTGTCCACCCACTCATCTCTTGTCTTAGTCAGTGCTCTATTGGTGGAAAAAGACACCATGACCACAACAACTCTTATAGGGGAAATCATTTAATTAGAGCTTGCTTACAGTTTCAGCAGTTTAGTCTATGTGTGTGTGTATATATATATATATATATGTGTGTGTGTGTGTGTGTGTGTGTATACATGTATACATACATACATACATACATACATACATACAATATGCAGGGGAATTCCTACAATCACTTAGAGGCTATTGTCCAGCAAATACAATAATGGTTGGCTATGAATGGAGAGTTCAAGAATCCAGAAGTTACAAGTCTCAGCTGGTCTTCAGTGGACACTGGAATTTCAAAGAAGTAAGTTCTAATGCCAATAAAGGAATGGACTTGCTAGCAGGTCAAGAGCTTCCTTCTTCCATGTCCTTGAATAGGCTTTCAGAAGAAGTTGTGAACCAGATTAAAGGTGTGACTTCCCACTTCAAGATCCAAATTAAAGACGTGTGTCTTCCTGCTTCAAGATCTAGATAAAAGATATGTGTCTTCCTACCTCAAAAGTGCAGACTAGAAGTAGATTCTACCTTAAAACCAAGCAAAACATCTCTCACAGGTGTGCCAGCCATTTCTGAATTGCAGTTCATTCCAGATGTAATCAAGTTGGCAACCAAGAGTAGCCACTACAACTAGTCAACATTTGGTGAAGTCAGTACCTTCCTTGCTGTGTGTCTTCTCTTCTTTTCTGGAGGCTCTACATCCTCTGGAACATTCTATCCCTTTACTTGCTTCTCCTTGCCAATCATCTTTCTTTTTTTGTCTTGCAATGACATTGACATAGGGCATAGTTCAATCTTCTTCTTTTTTTTTTTTTTTTTTTTTTTTTTTTTTTTTTCTTAACTTGGGTTGACTTCTTTGATGGCAGCATTTTGTCTCACGGTTTTAAATCTAGAACCTTCCTTTCTAGTCTACAATTCTCTGCAACAGCACATAGCTCAGTGTGCATCCACATCTCTGTGTGAACTTCACCAATGTCTAAAACAGAAAGGTTCCACTACTAACCTGCTCCCCAAAGCCTGACCTATCTCCAAATGTACTCTATTCATAATTGGTCATCATAAAGTTTAGCAATTACAGAAGAGAATAGAGTAGAACCAGTAGGTATGAGCACGTGTGGCCCTTACAGAGGACCCGAGTTCAGTTCTCAGCACACATGTGAGTTAGCTCACAACTGCCTGTCACTCCACAGGGTATTGAAGCCCTCTTCAGCCTCCACAGCCACTGCACTCACATCTACAAACACACACAAATATGCAACATAGTTTTAAAAAAGATATAATGTATGTGTTATAATGACCTCACAGCATATATCTATAGAAAGTGAATTACATGAAAATTAGACACATGTTATCATTCATTTTTTTGTTTAAGATCTATATGAGGAAACCCTCTCACAGCTAAAATTTTTCCTCGCCTAAAATTTCCATTCTATTTTTCATGTATTTTCTTTCTCATGTGAATGTCTACCCTTGTGCATCTGATATTACTCATTAAATCATAACTTTGCAACAAGAAGCATAAATAGATAGAGATATTTTTATCTTTAAACTTAACATTCTAAGCCTTATTTTTTTCTTTTGGTATTGATCAATTTTACAGCTATGTAAATTTGTGATTACATGAGTATATAATTGATAAAACACCACTGATATATTATAAAATATGATAAGAAAAAATTTAACATAAGTAGCATGTCATAAATGCATTGATTGATGAGATACAGGGACCTGACTTTATTTTCATCATTTATGCATGAATAAGATCACTCCTAGTATCAAAGTGTTCAGGTCCAATTATGTTCTTTTGTTCTTATGTATCTTGGTGCAAAAGTAAGGTGATTTGGATCTATAGGTTGGAATTACTGAATTACTGATTTCTTGAAACCCCCAAGTTTTGTGGAAGTTTTAAAATAAGGTGGGTAGAGGTGGCTCAGTAGTTAAGAACATCGGCCGCTATTGCAGAAGCCTCTAGTGTGGTTTCCTGCACGCACAGGGAAGCTCAATGCTATCCAAAACTCCAGTTCCACGAGCTCAGATGTCCTCTCCTGTCTTCTGTGGGCACTTCACACACGTGGTGCACAGACATACAGCCAGGCAAGACACTCACACACGTAAAAATAAACAAAATCTTTTAACAAATCTAGAACAGCTCCATTAATTACAAAGCATGAATGTTTAAAATAATGCTTAGTGTCCTGACAGTCATTCCTAGTTCTGCCATCAGTTCTGTTGAACTCTGAGCGTAAGTGAGGCTCTAAGCTACAAAAGCACACGTCTTCGCAAGTAAAGATTCAGTCGCTCTGTTGGTGCTGGATACGGCATTTTAAATTATCCCTCCTGGGTTGTTAATTTTTTTTATATCATAAGAATACATTTGAGTAGAGGTAGCTGAGGAGGGAGGGTTTTCAGACATAGGTCCCTTCATATTAACACTGGGCACAGAAGAGCATACTAAGGTGATTCCTCATAAAGTTTCCCAGACACTCAATATAAAGGAACCTATTGAGCACAAATACTCAGAGCATCCTAGTGAAGCCTTTCAAAGTTCAGTCTTTCTGAAAATGTCCGCATTTCAATCACAATGAATGCTGGAAGAAACTTGGCTCGTCTATGCTTTGCCTAAATCCTACAGTAATTATTATTTGCAAGCCATGATCTATAGTGAATTTTAATCCTTCTTTCTCTAAGTGAAAGCCCTCTTGCTATTCAAGAGCAAAAGCCATGACGTGAGTATGGCCTTCAGTGACACTGAATAATTTATGTGAGGATCTCTGGTCTTTGTAATGTTGAGCCTTTACCAGTTAGGACCCCGTGTGTCTCTATCCCTAAGGGCTTCTCGTGCTTTCAAATTACTCAGCAAAAATTTGTGCGTATCTTCAAATGGAGCCTATGGGTAATGGAGATTGTTCCTGTTTTGTATCTCCAGAGTTTTGCCAATTATGTTAGAGGTCAAAATTAGCCCATGCCCTGAAGGCAGAGATACCTTGTAGGGTATTTTTATGTATGACCATAGAAGGTCCTAGGACCCTTTGGAAGCACAGCCTTGAGTCAGTCTAACCCTAAATAAGCCATCACCAAGGTTAGCCAGGCACGCCAGCTAACCTAGAGTGTTGGCCTGTCACTGCGCACTAACACAGAGAGTCACCAAACACAAAGGGTTGGCCTGGCATTGATTGCCAGCTACCATGGAGGTTCAGGCTGGCACTACCCACTAACACAGAGGACCTACCTCACCACCCTTTTCCTTTGCTTTTTCCGTAGGAAAGAAGACGAGAGTTTGAACTGAATCTCAGAAAAACAGGTCTGGAGTTGGAAATCGAAGACAAAATGGTAACTCTATTTGATAAATTACGCAAGGATCGTATGTTAAGTGGACTTTTCTCCTGTGGATGTATTTGGCTGGGTAGATGTTGGGTTTGGATCAATACATAAATCGTATGGCTTCAGAAGTGTGCACACGGAGACAAGAAGACCTGCACCATCACGAATCTACCGTCAGTGAGGGGAAGGCTCCGTGAAATGTTTTAAAAACAGTAGGGTCGTAGGCAGTGGGAGAATGGCCAGGCTGCACAGTGCTTGTCATGCAAGCACGGATACCCAAGTATCACCCAGAGGGCGTTTAAAAACTTAGGTGTGGCAATGTGTGCTTATACTGCCAACAATGGGAAACAAGTGGATCCCTGAGCCGTACTGTCCGTGGAGTCTACGCTCGTTGGTGAGCCCCGGGTTCCAGTGAAAGACCCTGTCTCAAAGTACACAAGCAAACAAGGTGAATGGCTCCTCAGGAACTACACCCAAGAGTGACTTCAGCCACCCATGCCCACACACACACACACACACGCACGCATGCGAGCACACACGCACGCACGCACGCACGCACGCACACACCATGAGCACGTGAATGCCGTGAACACACATGATTTCTCCTCAGGGTACAGAAAGGTGAAGCACTTTGTTGACATAGCTGTCATACCTTGAAGCTGCCTGCCTCATTGTACACTGAACCTGGCTGTCCTGTCGGATAGCCCCTAGGGACAGTCCTCCTCCAACAAAGCCATGCCTCCTAATCCTTCCCAAATAGTTCCACTAACTAGGGACAAAGCACTCATATTAGCCCATGAAGGCCATTACTCAAACCACCAAGGTACACTTACGTAAACATGTCAGAGTAATCTCATTTCCTAAACCTTTTGCTTAAAAAATTGATTACGTTGAAAATTTATTTTTATCATTGAGAATTTATGAAGTCTGCTTTCTTTAATCTTTAACTTCCTTCCACTCCATCTCTTTTCTGTGCAGAACTCTGAAGATGGAAAAACCTTCTTTGTGAAGATCCATGCCCCATGGGAGGTCCTAGTCACTTATGCTGAAGTGCTAGGAATCAAGATGCCTATTAAGCTGAGCGACATCCCGAGGCCAAAGTACCCACCCCTGAGTTACATGCTTGGGCCTGTGAAGCTCCCAGCCAATGTGAAGTACCCTCACCCTGAGTATTTCACTGCCCAGTTCAACAGACACCGTCAGGAGCTCTTCCTCATCGAAGACGAAGCCACGTTCTTCCCATCCTCAGCGAGAAACAGAATTGTAAGTAGTGAGGGTCTTGGGTACCTCTCTCTATATGTAGCATGTATGACTCTGAGCTCAGTGCTAAGCACCATGCAGGGCTGGAAGCCTCTTAGGTGCAGCTTTACCTTGTTAAGGTCCCTATTTCTCAATAGGAGACTGATTGACTACAATAGTCCAAGAGGCATTATGTAACCCTAGAACAGCCTCTCACCAACACCAAGGGTTTGGATTTTATATCATCATTGTAAATTGATTTCATGATCTTAAAATTGGGTTTTATAAATTTAAAGTCAGAGAATATTGATCATTGTAATTCAGTTTCAACATTTTCTTTATATAGATATATTTTAATTTCTTTATATAGAGGTGGGCTTCGAGGAGCCTTGGACATTTTCTCCCCTGTTGAAATCATCTTCAGTCCTGTCAGAAATATTTCTTCTTCTGTAGTCGTAGGCTTGTAATTGCTGACCGAAAGCTGCACATACTGCTGTTTCCTCATGCTAGACTGAGATCACGTACATTTTGTATGGTACCCTGAGAATTAAGTGACTTAATCTGTAGAAAACTTTGAACAGCACTTAACACACAGCAAGTGTTCAGTGACAATTAGCTGTCACTCTCATTAGTCTGACTTCAGAAGAAACAAATCTGGTCCCATTTGGGTTTGCACTTTGTAGTGTGTGTGAGTGTGTGTGTGTGTGTGTGTGTGTGTGTGTGTGTGTGTGTTTTAAATTCACCATCTGATTCCCAACAACTATAGACTCGTTCCCCCTTGAGAGTACACATTTTCCCTTTGTAAGTAGAAAGGATAGTTCATTCCACTTTCTTCCTAGTTCTTAAATATTTTTATTTAAATTCACAGAGCTATCAAACAAAATGCTGCTCCTAGAATATTGGTACAATATGAATTGAATATGAATTGAGAAAACAATTTCTCGCTTTTTCTACTGGGATTAAAAGATAAAGACCATCGCATCAAACCATCATCTTTCAGGGAATAAAGAGGCCTTGTTTTTGTATCAGAAGGAAGGCCTGTTGTAAAGCCATAATGCTGCCATTTCCTAAGAAAGATCACTTCTCTGGAAGCAGAGATCTTGCTATTTTCATGGACTGTAATTGAAATCTAGTCAGTAACTTGTCTCCTAAATAGTTCCTGGTAAGAACTTTGGATGCTACTCATTGACAGAGTGGCAGCCTATCACACATAGAGAGAGCACTAGATTTAGGCTTCACCCCACCTTCCAAAAGGACGGACCAGGAGGTTGTTCAGCATAGGGAAGTCACTGGTATTCCTAACCCTCACCCTGTGTTTCATGTTGTCACTTGTGAACCTTGCCAGTGTGTTTTCTAAGTGAGAAGTGTGAGCCCCCTTCCTTCTGCAGTGTAGAAGCACCGTGTTCCCTTACTTAGAAGGCTGATGTTGAAGGAGTCACTTCCTTCCTGTCCCACTCAGCATTTTAATCTATGCATGGACACAATGAATAAATGGATGTAGCATCTTCCTAAGATAGATGCTCATACTTGAAAGCATCTATCCAAACACCAGAGTAATCTGGAGATTCCCCCATGATATGTAAGTGCGCGCACACCATCGTAGCAGAAACAGGACATAATTTTTGACATGAATGAAGACTCAGCCACTGGTATGGGTGGGAAAGCTTCCACACCTCACCACCACCTTGGCTCCTAAGCACCATCTCGCAAGGTCACCGTGGTACTCTCCAGTCCTTGACATGCTCCACCGAGTTTGTCCATTGACAGTTTTCCCACACTTAAAAGAAATAGGGCTAAAACCACTGAACACTACAGTCTCCAACAGTGACAAGAGGGTCACTTAGGCTTTTGTTCAGACTTCGGTTTATCCCAAAGGACAAGTCAAGAATGTCCTCAGAAAAGAAGAGGGTGAGAATTAATTCCTTTTTTGGCACCGGTGTTTTTGGACTTATGCTGCTCATGCTTACGTTTCTCACATTGTTGAGACCGTTATACTCATTCCACATTCCTAGTTTGTCCCACAAATGGTTCGCAGAGCCATTCCACCCTTCAGAAGAAAGCACTCAATGGCTAATGCTACCTCTCTGGCCCTCACAGGAACCTGGCCACAGGCTATCCTGAGCCACAGTGCACAGGGCATTAGCTAGAGGTTTCTCTGAACCTTCTTTTTCTCTCCCCACAAGAGAACCATCAGCCCCCTGCCTTTCCTGACGGGTGTTGATCTGGCTAGATGCCCTTCCCATTGCAGTGGCCACTGTCCTCCATGACAATAAAGCCATTCTTAGCCAAGTCCAGATTTTCTTTGACAACAGTATGTATAACTTGCTACCCCCATATTGTACATCTCAGTATAAGTTAGACTAAGCTTTCCACTTTGTTAAAGCCCAAGGCCGAGTTCTTACCTTTTGCCTCATAACCACCAAGCTTATATTAACAAGAGTGAATAGTAGGTTTCCTTTAGGTGGATGACCAGATTAGATGATGAGAATCCACGGACAGTATCCAATGCAGGCAATGAGCCTTTGAGAGATGAAATGTGAGAGAAGCAGCCTAGGCAGTATCTCTAACACAGCCCACATTCAGCAAGCTGAAGAGGTAGGCATTTGCCAAGCTGCTCAAAGGCAAAGGAGAATAAGTAGGGTAGGTTAAAAAAAAAAAATACAATCACAGAAAACACCAAAGAGAAAGCTGACAGAGGTGTCTAGAACATAGTAGAAGAGACACAACCAACTTAACACGTTCAACAAGGTAACACCAGGCAAAGGCCCCACATATATCATTAGAATGACTGGCTGAAACAGCCTGGCTAGATAGCAATTTGGTCTCCAATTTCTCATAGTGAACTATTAAAAATGGTACTTGAAAGGCTGGTTCTACTAAAGAGTTGTGGCACAAGAGATTCTCAGAGGAACTTGAGACAAGAGAAGAAAATAAATGATGATTCGTGCACCCTAGCCCCCAGTGAGGCAGAAGGGTATTGTCAGAACCTGGGAACCAAACACCTGCCAATTGTATACAGCTCCCCGATCTGTGTCTTCTCACAGTCCACGAAGAGAGGCATTCTTCTGTAGCCAGAGCCTGTGTCCATTCAGGGTAGATACTGTCCACTTACGGTTTTCAAAGTGTAAAACAGCATGGAACTCTTTACCCTCAGTGTGCTGGGCCCCCACTTTTACCTCATAGTCTTAATATAGTGAGGTCCCTGCATGGAAGGATGCATGTGCTGATTTTTTCCTGGTACCCACCTGGCAGGTTTACTATATCCTGTCACGATGCCCCTTTGGAATAGAAGAGGGAAAGAAAAAGATTGGGATCGAGAGACTGCTAAACTCCAACACTTACTTATCTGCCTACCCACTCCACGATGTGAGTATCGGCGACCTCCATAACGCGGGTTCCATTTCCGCCCTCGCAGTCAGAGCTCATCTTCCTCAGGGATGGAGCCGCTCTCCAATAGCTTCCCATTCCCTCCTTCACAGAGGGAAATTTCCATATTCTCTGCTTCCAGGCTGAGGTGTGCTCTAGCAAGGCTAAAGTACACTTTTCATGCTAGCATTTCAAATGGAAAGTCTTTTTAATGATCATTTGTATATAGCACAACATTCTCTTTAGAATTCATTCCAGAAATCATATATATATATATATGTATAAAATCATATACATATATATATATTTTAAAGATTGGGTGACATATTACTCAGAAATTCCTAAAATGTCGTTTCTCATAGATTTCTTTTTATTTTATTTTTTTAATAGTAAATGCACTCATGTTTATCCACCAAATGTAGAACTGGTTTCCATCACAGGGAAAGCATTTTTGTTGGCTATTATTTTTAACACTACCTATCATGACTCCAAGTCCAGAGATCAGGGATTACCTAGAGACTAAGCAGATGTCTAGCTGAGGGTACTGAAGATACGATTATCAGATATATCTTCACTAACAACCAGAGTTCCGAAGACCTTTTTCTTTGGGATTGATGACTCATTATTGCACAAAAACACGGAGCTTTACGTGTTCCACAAAAAGCAACTCTTCCGAATGTTGAGGTCAGTTAGTCAAACCTTAAGATAGCTTGGCAGCCTGGGGCTTCGGGCTGGGGGCGGTGGTGTTTGCACTGAATGGTGAAGTACATTCAGTTTCACTGTGGCTTCACAGCAGAGAGCAGGCGGCTGGATCTCATGTCCCCTTTTCCATCGCTCTGTCCTGGCTGCAAAAGACTTTTACATGCTATATTTCCTGCAAGAAATGCATCCCTCGGCAAGGAGAAGAAGCATATTTATGTTGGAACAAATGCAAGACATTTTCCTCCATTTTGAGTGCTGCTTGTTCAACAGCGGCACTGCTGGCGTGATATTGTTTTCTGTTTTTATTTTTATTGAATATAGATTTTTTTTCCCATGCAATATATTCTGATATGGATCTCCCTCACCCAAGTCCTCCAAGACCCTCCCTGCCTCTCCTCCCATCCATGCCCACACCTTTCTGTCTGCCACTAGAGGCGATTTTCAGATTCAATTTCAGATAAGCATTGCCTCCTTCTAACTCTTGTGTGACCCTTTCCTATGAAGGAGGAGGAGCTGGCCATCCTCCTCCAAAGCCACAGTCTTCTAGAGAAGGACAGTGTGGGGAATACAGAGTCAAGATAACTGAGCATAAAAAGATGCTGTTAGACCAGTGCACAGGCCGCCAGGCATTCTTTGCTAATCTTTCTTTACGAAGGTGATTATGTTTGGAAGACTTTGGGGATTTTTGTTCATTTGCTTAGCTGCAGGACATTGATTCTTTTAACCTATTGCCCTATTGTAAATCCAACTCCTGCCGCGGTCCTGGGTGTTTTTGTTTTTTTTTTTTTTTTTTAACCTGTACATCCAGCCTTTCAGCTCAGCTTTGCTTGTTCATGGGAAGTGGGTGGCCCTGAGTTGTCTATAGGAACCGCTAGAAGTCACCATTTTTAACACCTGTTCTGAATGCAGATTCCCAAGTGCTGGGTCATCTCGTGTGTGCTTTTAGAGCGGTGATCTACACCGTCCCCAAATGCCACCCTCAGGACACTGTCTTTAAGTTTCACTTCGCAAAGGTCAAGAGTCAGTGGTGTTGCCTACAGAACAACGAAAAGCTGGATTTAGTGGGATATAAAATGTCGCACTTTGTCATAAATCTTCACTTGTGTTAAACGTGAAGCTGGACACCCACTCACACTACCCTCATGCCCACATAATTTTTTTAATGGTTTTACTAGGCCAGCTTAATAAATAAATCACTCTGTGATTTTGTTGGTTTGTTTGTCTTTGAAAACGTTAGCAAATGATTTCCTGTGAGTGGAATATGAATTAGAAATGTATCAGTAAAAGATGGCGTCAGTGTTGTCCGCTGGCCACTGACCCAGAGAGGCGCTCTCTCCATTATCTGTGACTCTTACGCTCTCCTTGACTGTGTGCAGGGCCAGTATTGGGAGCCATCAAAAACTCCTACTCACATCAATGAGAGGTATATCCTTCGCCAGAACTGGGCTCGATTTTCCTACTTTTACAAGGAGCAACCCTTAGATTTGATTCGGTAAGTTCATTCAGCACTGTGCTCGCTAAAAACCAATAACGTGATCTTTGTTCGCGGTTCTAAAGGAGACTGTTCACTGCCTCTGTTAATCACTATGCCTCCCAGCCATTCTCTTTACTATTAGTTGTTAGCTTGGGAGATGGCAGTTGTTGCCACCGTCTATGAAAGGAACGCTGTAACGTGGCTACTAAGGGTCAGTAGCCTTTAGCTAGGGCGCAAGCTAATTCCTGCCTTGTGCAAGCAGCACACGGTTGGCTGTGGCTCTGAAATGCTGTGTGGTTTGCCTTTAGCATGGACGTGATGCTTTGTTTTCCTTTGAACATGTGATGTGACTCGTCTCCATTTTAGTTTGTGTGCATAGAAGAGTTTAGAGTACAGGAGAAACCGGCCTGTGAACGTTGGTCGCAGATTTCTGGAAAGTTCTTGGTTCTCTAATCTCAGTTTTTTAAATATGCATGCAATCAATGCACAATAAATAATAGAATCAAGGAATATATGTGGGTGTTTTTAAATTATTCTTATAACGTTTTTGTGAATTTGAAATGGTTTCCAAACGAGAACTATAATAAGGGGGGGGGACCTCAGAAGCACAACAATGATTTGATTTTCAGCAAAGGTGACTAAGAAACCCTTGTGAGCAAAGGCATTGTGACAGTAAATGGAACTGGCACAGGGGGATGATCATGGACGAGATGTGTGTCTACACCATTTCCAGGGCAAAAATACAAATTTAAATTAAAACCTATCAGAGCCGAAACTACCAAAATAAAACATCTAAGGGTGCAGAAGAGAAGAATTTCTATGCCCTGAATGGGGTTCGGCCTTCTCAGATCAGACAGAACACACACTATAAGGAGTATGTTTGATTAAAGGCACAGTACAGCATGAAAAAAAAAAATGTGTACAATAAACGCATCAATGAAATACATTCATCTAAAAGTAGGAAAGACTTATGCGATAACAGATGCTTCACCATAGGAATATGATTATGGATGGCAGCAGCCATCCTATGCATAGTCACCCACAGGGAAATAGAAACTGTGTCACTGGGGGGGGGGGGGCTGTGCTCCTATGCGCAAAGTCAGAATCAGAGGTCACACAGGAAGAAGCTGTCATAGCGCCAGGCTGGCCGCCATATAAAATCCTAACACCATTGGTGGGAATGCATGGCCAAACGCTTTGTCAGCTTCTTACGACGTTAAATGTGTCCTTTCTGAGTGAACCAACAGTTCCACCCACAAGTGTTTCACTTGGGAAAATGAAGCGTCTCTCCATAGAGACATCATTTGAATATTCAAAGCAACTTAGCTGGTAATGAAGAGAGACTTGGAGCAATGAGACATCTAAGAACTGGTATCGTATGAGTAAGTGACATTTCCATCACAGAAACAAATGAATGTACATAACGCCAGGTAAGAGACTTTCAAGGACTGTGCTGAAGGACACAAGAAGACCACAGAAAGCTGCACACTCCGTGCTGCGATTAAAACCATTCTTCTGGAAAGGGTGTTAAACACAGCAAGACCAACACACATAACAACTCACAGAGACTACAGCAGCCTGCAGAGAGCCTGCACCAGGGTGCCCCAGATAAGAGCCAAGTGTTGAGAGGGGGTACAAGCCCCCATTTATAACCTAGAAGTTCTGTCCAATTGATAACTACTCAGAAAAAAAAAAAAAAAACAGTTTCCTGCAATAGTGTCATGGGATACACAAACCATACTTAAGGGCAGGCCCTATGCCCAGCAGTAGATGGCCAACGCAAAACAAGCTCTATGGTATTTGGGGAGGTTTTTTTTTTTTTAGTCTCACAATGTTTTGACAGCATTTTTTTATTGTTAATTTATTTATTTTTGCTGCACAGGCCTTTTCCTTCTGTTTTATGGTTTCTGACTTTGTTTCTATGAGTTTTCTACACACGTGAATGAGTGTGTGTCGGTGTCTGCGCTTTTTCTTTGCCTCTTTTTGTTTCTGTTCATTTTCTCTTATTCTGGTTTGCTCGTGTTAGTTTATCTTATTGTTATTTACATGCCTGTTTGTCTTCTAATGAGAGAGAAAGAAAAGGTGTGTATCTGGGTGTGTAGGGAGGTGGGGAGCATCTGGAAGAAGCTGGGGGAGGAGAATCACCATCAAAATATACGATATGGGAAAAAAAATCAATTTCCAATAAAAGAAAAGAGAAATCCAGAAAAGGGAAAACAAACAAAAAGTACTAGTTTCTCAAGATTCCCAGTTTCACCATGGATTCCTGAGAATTCTTGCTCCTGTGGAAAATATGCTCACTGTGCTTCCTACGATAGTTGCTATAAGCTTTAATACAGCAGAAGGTAAGCCAATAGACCATGTTTAAAAAAAAAATACTTAGTACTTAAATATAGTGCAGGCGTCCACCGCAATCCCAGCATGGGGTGGGGGGTTGATGTAGGGGCTTGGCTGAGAATGAAAGGCTGTCTTAAAAAGGAAAGACAGAAAAGAAAACATACTGGTGTTCTTTTGACGATCTTGGTATTGTTCAGTATTATAGAAATTGCTTTATTCTTTAGTAAAATCTCTGAGATGCAGGGTCACTCACATTTACTGTGGGGAAGTGTCAGGAGCAGGTTGCTTAGGGACTGTAACAGACAGCCATGCGGGGGGAAAGTACAAGCCAAACTGCAAACATGGTTATCAGCATTGAAAAGAAAATGCAACACACAGAGAAAGGCTTTCAAAAGCAGAAGAATTAATACGGGGCATGAGAAATCTATTTAAAATCTGCTTAAAATGGTCTCTGTGGGAGGCGACATCTATGTCCCCCTTGCTCACTCCCTGTTGCCTCCTCCAAGGGCAGACTTGGACACTGCAGGTCATTATCTGTTGCTCTGGAAGTAGTAAACTCAGGGCCATCAAATCTGTGGAAAGGCCATAGACCTGGTGGTGAGTGCTCCGAGGCAGGGAGGGCTGTTCCAGGTCTTTGAGCGTGGACTCAGCTAAACCTGGCTGTAAATAGAAGCAGTAATGTCCACTCTGTGAAGCGAGGGCCACAGCCATACCTGAACGGCGTCAGAGCACCCACGCCAGCTGGGGAAAGAAGCAAGACGATTGTTCAGGCTGGTTATGTCTGATACTTTAACTTCTTTGTTTAATAATTTATCATACGTTCGCTTAGTGTTGGAAAAACTTACTTGAAGCTTACGGAAACTTTAAAATTCATGAGTTCTCAGTATGATAATATTTAAAAACTTTAAGTCCCACCCTCATGGCTTCCTTCTTCCATGCGCTATTTCTTTTAATCTCTACAACTATAAATTTTGCCTGCCCGAATGGAGCCAGTGCACCTGGCCCGCAGTTTCCTTCCAGCCTCTGATCTTGACTCTCTTTCGCAGGAATTATTATGGAGAAAAAATCGGAATCTATTTCGTGTTTCTCGGGTATTACACAGAAATGCTGCTGATTGCGGCTCTGGTGGGCTTAGCCTGCTTCATCTATGGCTTGTTGTCAATGGAAAACAACCAAAGTAGGTGAGCACAAGAGACTGGCACCAACTGGCACTCCTGTGGTCTAAGCTTCTGCCGCCTCCTCATTTTTTCATTGACCTCTACCTGCTTCCCTGTGGGAGCAGGCAGTGTTTGCAAAGCAGAGTCACACGTAACGTTTCTCCTTGCGGAGGGCTTTCTGGAAACTGACCTTTTGTTGTTGTTAGGTTTTGATTTCATTCATTTGAACGCCATTTATTCTTTCCTTTGTTTGAGGATTTCATAATGCATGCATTGTGTTTTGAGCAAATCCTCCCCTGCCCACTCAATTCCTCCTCCATTGTCCTTGCCGATTACCCATGTTCATTTTAAAACCCAAGCCTACCTGGTGCTGCCCTCATGGGCATGCATGGAGGACTATGTGCTAGAGCATGTGCCCTCAGTCCCCCAGCACCAGCCACCAACTGTCTAGCTCTTCCGCCAGGGGTAGGACCTCATGACCCCTCATTCCCCATCCTATGTGTTGTCTGGCTCCATCCTGCTCAGGTCTTCCACATCAGACTTTTTAAAGATGTAGTCTAAGGAGTCTGTTCTGTAGGCTGCAACTTGTGCCACCGCAGAAACATTTGCTTTGTCTCCACTTTTGTTGTGGGTGGACATGCATTAAACAGTCTGCTGAGAGCTGCTTAGATTGTCCACTCCCAACGGCATTGCTTTTTTTATCTGACTTCTCTGGGTAGCAATGAAATCTGTGACCCAGACATCGGAGGTCAGATGATCATGTGTCCACTCTGCGATGAAGTGTGCGATTACTGGAGACTGAACACCACGTGCTTGCATTCAAAGGTAAGTGTGCAGTTTGGCGGGATGAGGCTGGAGCTTCCTTCCTGTGGTGACGTGTCTCCGTATTAAGTGGCTTCTGTGATGGTGTTCCTTTTACAGTTCTCCCATCTGTTTGATAATGAGTCAACCGTGTTCTTTGCGATCTTCATGGGGATCTGGGGTGAGTACAGAGCCTCCTCCAAACTAATTTCCTTTGTGTTGTAACTGTTCGTGAATTTAGCACGTTTTGCCTAATCCGTTATGTAATTTCTTTTTACCACTGGCAACAGCGCTGGAAAAAAAACTTTTCTAAGACAAGCTCTCCTAAAATGCAGGCTGCCTTGAGCTCTCAGTGTAGATGAGGGTGCCCTTGGCCCTCCTGCCTCTGCCTCCCAAATTCTGGGATTACTCCTGGGCACCATCACACAGAGCCTATGTGCTGCTGGGGATGGAGCCCAGGGACTCACGTATTCCAGGCCAGCACTCTACCATTTAGCTCTATCCCCAGCTCCTGGAACAAATACCTTCATGTATTCACACAGAAACCTTCTAAGGATATTACTTACCATGTGAATTGATGGGGAAAATTTATATTTACAACTTAAAAGCTTTACTATATACTTACATGACTCACATAAAAACTGGACTTTTATGCACCTTCTGCTCTTAGTTTTTAAACACTGGAGATGCAGTTTGACACATTGGGTGTCATCTCATTAAATAGTTTTGATTTGTACTTGTTTGATCGATCCCGAGTATTTCTGATATTTGATACTGGATCTTCTTTGTCACTGGAAGCATCTTTAAAAGATTTATTTATTTTTTTTATTGTGTGTGTGTGTGTGTGTGTGTGTGCACGCGTGCGTACACGCTGTATCGACTTTATGCCAGAAAAGGGCATCAGATCCCATTATAGATAATTGTGAGCTACTATATGGTTGCTGGCAATTGAACTCATATATTTAAGATATTTCTAAACTCATCATTTACATCTGGTCTTTACCCTTGGTCAGGAGAATCTCGGATATATAATCAAGCCATAAGCTTTTCTTTCCAACCTTGGTTGTGCTGTGTGTTTCTGTAGCTTATCTAAGATGTGCACCCATGCGTATTTATGCCAGGAACGCAGTGGTTTCATTTTACTCAAACTTGATTGTAGTTCTAAAGGTCCTACAGTGTCTGCTGAAGGGCAGATAGTCTTCTACCTGGCAGAGGTGGAAATGTGCCCATGTGCGGCCTTTATCTCAAAGCAGGTACACATGGACTCATGCCTCCAGTCACTGGTCTACCTGCTGTTTTAGAGAAATCGTCCTCAAGGCTTTAGCTTCCAAAGTTTCAGGGCTGGGTTTGTTGTGTGCTCAAACGTGTTAAATATGGTCCTTTCCCTTTTTTCTTTCTCTTCCCCCGCCCCCCGCCTCTCCACACACAGAGAGAGAGAGAGAGGGAGAAAGAGAGAGAGAGAGAGAGAGAGAGAGAGAGAGAGAGAGAGAGGACTGAACCTAGTCTCTCACACATGCTGGGCAGGAATCTATAACTACACTCTACACTTCATCCCCGAACCTCTTTTTTTTTTTTTTTTTTTTTTTTTTTTTTTTTTTTTTTTGCTTTTTGTATTGAGTCAGGAAGTTTCCCAGGCTTGTCTTGAACTTACTGGAACCAAAGCAGGCCTTGATACTTACAACCTTTCTGCTTCAGCCTCCTGATCAGCTGAGAGGGTAGGCCTGTCCACCGTGGTGTCCAGCAGAATTCTTTCTTGTACAGAAAAATATCAAGTTCTATTTAAGCTCAATCTAAAATGCACAAGCCAAGGGTCTGTATAATTTACAGAGATCCCCTTCCAAGGATATTCTAATCTTGGGATCCTTGTGGATTTATGTACCCTCAAGAAACCCAAGGAATTCATGGCTGTAGTTTGGGTTTTAGAATGTTTCTTTTCCATTTTCGTGTAATACTCTTTTGCTAGCCATTTTTCCATCACCATCTTTTGTCCCTGTCTGTGTTATCTGGTTTTCTTATTTTTTCTTCAGAATGTCAAATTTTGACATGAGAAGGGTTTAACTGTTCAGTGTGCCTAAGAGTCATGTGAATACGGTCATCAAATACTGTTTCTAAAATTTATACCAGTTAGTGTTTGGCTAATGTTAAGATGAAATATTATAACATTATTTGAATGAGGAAGCTGTGCAGATGATCTGGAAATTTACAGCTTTGCCTGCTAAGAAATCAACTTGAATTTCCATAGTGAATAATTTCTGTTATTACTTAGTGTCACATCAACAGTAGTCACTGAGAAAAACAAACAAACAAAAAACATCAAAAATGGCCAATGTTTCCAACTGAGAACATGTGAAGCATTTTGAAAACAAATGATTACAGGCAGAAGTGAAAGTTTCTTTTTTAAGATATTGTATTTTCAATCGTATGTGCACACATGCACATACATGTGCATTCTGTAGGCGTACATTGGGTACCCTGTGAGACCATATAGCATTGGATGTCCTGGAGCTGGAGTTAAAGGTGGTTGTGAACCCCCAGATGTGAATTCTGGGAGCTGAACTCAGATCCTCTGCTAGAGCAGCAAGCCCACTCAACTGCAAGCTAACCCTCCGGCACCTAAGGCTGCCGTCTTGCAACTTTTGTTTGTCCACCTACTGATGGCTCCACCCTGACGCTTTCTTCTACTGTAGTCACACTGTTTCTGGAGTTCTGGAAACAGCGACAAGCCAGGCTCGAGTATGAGTGGGATCTGGTGGACTTTGAAGAAGAACAGCAACAGCTCCAGCTTCGGCCTGAGTTCGAAGCCATGTGTAAACGGAAGAAGATGAATCCTGTGACGAAGGTACGGTAGGCATGGAATAGGTGATTGATTCTGGCATCCCTCTGCTATTGGCTGCCCTGGAATAGCCATGTTCCATCAATATACAAGTTAATCAACAAAATTCCTATTTATATGAAAAATTTCAAACACACTTCCAAATAGAAAGCTATAGTGTATACGATATATAATTATATAATATATATAATTTAAGCCATGGCTGGACCTGCTACTCAACATTGCATTTTCACCCCATAGAGAGCATTTATTCATATGTATCCACACACCCTCCTGTTACTAGATTATTTTCAAAGCCAATCCAGTGCATCAGAGAATACGGAATATGTAATGTCACTGCTAGGTGAGAAAAAGTGAAATGGAAGCTAGTGTGCATGGAAACGAGTTAATGTGTTCCCCAGTAGCTGGGTGAAGACAGTGGATTTAAGGGTGAAGATTTTATTTGATAGAATGCCTCTTTCCACGGTGCTTTCACATTGACTGTTGTGGGAGAGTCACTTCACTGGAAGTGAGAAGGGTCTACATTATTAAACTGTCTGTGTGTTCTTGACTAAGGCTTCCACTCCTTGCAACCTCCCTGTTCTCCTTTGAAAGTGGGATGTGCGCTGCCTTCCGAGGGCAGAGCGTTAGCTTCGTAGGCTGGGAGCTGCTCTGTGCCCGGAGGGAAGGAGTGTGCCCCACTGCAAGCTCCATGCCTTCTGTGGAATTCTGTCCGTTCTGGAAGGCACCATTGCGGTGCTGCTCCCGAGATTCCTTTCACAGTTCAGGCATTAGACAAAGTCTCTTAAATTTCATTGAAATATAAAAATGTGTAACAGTGTGAATGACACCTACTTAATCTGGGTGTGGTAGGAATCACTTTTTCTTGACGTTGTGATAAAATACCATTGGCAAAAGCAACCTATAGAAAAGAGAGTTTAGTTTTTGCCTGGGTTACAAAGGGGACAGCCATAAAGTCAGGAAATGCTCAGCAGCCAGGGCAGGAATCCAAGATTCACACTCATCCACACACAGGAGGGGGGGGGCACGGAGGGAGGAGGGGGTGAGGGAGAGAGAGAGCGGGGAGAGAATGTGGGGCTAGCCTGTAGATGCTCAAAGCCCTCTCACAGGGAAGTACTTCCTCCTGCAAGGCTGCACCCACTGAAGGTTCCATAACTCCCCTAAACGGTGCAACCAGCTAGAGATTAAGTGTTCAGATGCTTGAGCCTATGGGAGCCATTTCTTTCTTAAGCCAGAAGAGGTGTTGAGAAAAGACATTAGATAAAACAATGGCGCGATGTGTATCTGCTTGCTTTTTCCTGCTTTATAGTAGAAAAAGACAACCAAGGCATGGTGCCACTTGGCTTCACCAACACAAAAGATGGACTGAGTGTTTGCGTTTGGACTTTATAGCAAGAAGTGTGTCTAGATTCTCCCTGGTTCTTTCACTATGTTTAGCTCTAACAGACTCAAAATGACAAGGCAGACATTTTTTTCATTTCTAGCAATAGATTTTGGTGTTTAAGCACAACCAGAGCTCTTACATGTGGGTCTGCATCAATGGCACATGTGTGTGGGTACACACGATGGGCACTAGCACGCATACATTGGGTGCACACAGGGACAGTACAGAGGATCCCATGTGGGCACAAGTGTGCATAGCCTGCATGTCCATAGAGCTCTTAGAAGGCTTCTCAGACCAGGGGATGTCCTGTAGTTCCTGGTGCGATTTGAAGATCCATAAATGTGGAATCTTACATTTTGTATAATTCCGTGGTTTGTGTATTTCCTGACAGCTCTTCTTTACTTTATAGCAACCTTTGTAAATAAAAATCCACGCTTGACTGTAGCTCAGAGTGTCGGTGGATCCAATTAATACCTTGCATATTAAAGGTTGTAAAGACGGGGGGAGGGGGGGGGAGAGCCTGACCTGCTGAGTTTTGGGATATAACCCAGGGCCACCTTCATATGCTGTGAAGCAAGCAGCGAACATTCCAGATGAAATGAAATTGTGCCTCAGCACACATCAGTGCTGCGGTTTGGACATTGTCTCTGTCAGACCCTGGAGGCCGCTGTCACCCAGCACTTAGGAAGCAGGTCGTGTTAATCATGTCTCCCAGTTCATGTGGAATGTCACTTTGGGATCTGATGGTCTCAAGGGAAGGGAAGGAGAGACTTTGCAGGGGCTGTGTAATGAGAGCCATTGTGAGGGGCACTCCTTGAACGTTCTACTCTCATTTGGGTTCCCAACGCTGAGGGTGAAGTGTGACTTCGTTATTTCTGCAATGTTACAGGAGATGGAGCCATACATGCCTCTGTGCCATCGCATCCCATGGTACTTTGTGTCAGGGGCCACAGTGACCTTTGGGGTAAGCGCCATGTTGGAACCTTTTACCATCTCTTTAGAACACAGTCCTCTATGAACCACAGTATCCCCACAACGCCGTCTGTGTCAGCTCTTGGATCATTCCTGCCACGCCCCATTCTTCCTTCGTTGACGACACCTCCTGTACAAAGCATGCCATAATTCACATAGATTTCCCCCCAAAGTGAAATTTGCAAAAAGATGTAGGGAGGAGAGAGTCCAGATTTCACAGCCTGTCCCTATCTGTCTCCCTGACTGCCACTTTGAAGCCAAACAAGAGTGTCATATTCATCTTCATTGCAGTCTCTGGTTAATGTTATCAACGTCATCATTTCTTTAAAGTATCTATGCATGTGACCAAGATTTAAACATCTTTCTTCTTGTTGAAATAAACAGAGTCAACCCTGAGGAAGACAAATCTCTTGGAGGGAGTTGGTTTTTCACAATATCTGTAGCTAATGCCTTCATTGCCACCATGAGTTTTTTCCATGCCTTCCTTTCTAATTTGTGTACTTGCCACAGTTAGCTTTTGATTTGGGGAAGAGTGGTGAGGGTGTTAGCCTCTCAGAGAATGGCACGTTGAGGTGTAAACACATTAACTAGTTTAGATTGTAGTTTAACTTCTCCAGTGTGTGTGCGCGCGCGCGCGCGTGTGTGTGTGTGTGTGTGTGTGTGTGTGTGCTCTGTACAATTTTAACAGTTCCTATTAAGACATTTTTTATATCTTGAAAGAGTTAGTTGGGATATGTTTTCTTAGCTTGCATAACCACTTTTAAAAGAAAAATAATGAATAAAAGGGAAACAAATAGCTGCCTTAGGATAAGTTCTGAGAAGTGAGCTTGGAAGCACAGTCCCAGAATTGTTCTTCTGTTTTCATTCTCTACTTCTAATTCAATGTGCTCTGCTTCCCCGGCTTTAGAGTAAAGTTTCCCAGTCATTGAACTGATACAGAGACACAGCGCTTTGCAATATACAATGTATACAAAATTGATGTGGGGACTTTATAACTAAAGCCTAGATCATGTTCTGGCAATTTTTTCCCAAAGGGGGATCAATTCATAGTTACATAGTCTCTGGTTCAGGATTATTTTTTATTTTCTTTAGAAAATCTATATTGATAGAGATAACCTAGATAGATAGGTAGGTAGATAGATAGATAGATGGATGGATAGGTGATAGATAGATAGATAGATAGATATGAAGGGTTCATAAGTGATAGATAGACATACAGGCAGGAAGGCAGATAAACAAACATAAGATAAATGACAGATAATAAACTTATCTCAAGAGCCACATCAAAACATACCGCGCCAGCGATAAGATTCAGAAGGGCTGTCATTTGTAAATACTGAGAATATAAATCACAAAGTTGAATGTAGTGGCCCCCTCTCACACTGCAATGATGAAATAACTGGCAAGAGACAACCAAGGGAAAAGGGGTTCAGTCTGGCCCCCAGTTCAAGGGCACGGCCCACCATGGCAGAGACTGCATGGCAATGAGAGCCTGAGGCAGCTGGACACAGTGCATTCAGAGTCACAACATAAAGAGAGACAAACACCAGTGCCCAGCTCCCTTTCCGCTTTTTACCTTTACTCCCCGGGGAAGAAGGGTCTCCTGCCCCAATGAACATACTCTAGGTAACTCACCCCTGGCCAGGTGACAATGCCAGCCATCACAGTGGGTAGTGGCTTTTCCTCTATTTCTTGTTTAACCCATAGCCACCAGATGATTTCTCTCTAAGCCTTCTTGCTACCCTGCGGTAGCTTATCTGCTGCCTCCGTGGTAAGAGGGGTTGCTTTGCCTAAGCAGCTGCTGAGCTATATCACCGAATGGGCAAACAAACAGCACATCCTGTGGCTCTCGGTTTTCCCCTCAGATGGCTCTCCTCCTCAGCAGCATGGTGTCCATCATCGTGTACCGCCTGTCAGTCTTTGCCACGTTTGCCAGCTTCATGGAGAGTGAAGCCACCCTACAGAATGTGAAGAGCTTCTTCACACCCCAGATGGCCACCAATCTCTCCGGATCATGCCTGAACTGCATTGTCATCTTGATCTTGAATTTTTTTTATGAGAAGATATCTGCCTGGATTACAAAAATGGGTAAGCTGGCCAAGTTATGAGGGCGAGGGGAACAAAAGTTTCGGTCAACATCCATCTTTGGACCCTCCTCACTGGGAACCAGCGTCTGTAGAGCACAATTTTCAGGCTGCCTTGTTCTCTGAGTAGATTCACACCAGGGTTGGTTTTTTTTTTGTTGTTGTTGTTTGTTTGTTTGTTTGTTTTTAACAATTTCTGAATATCCACACTCAGGCATTTCACGGTGGAGAGAAAAATAAAGAGGGTTCAGGACTCCTTGGGCCATTTTGAGGACCCTTAGCTCAGCATTCCTGGAGTTGTAAAACCATGCAATGATCTGGCCTTACATGATTTGTTTCTGAAGGTTTTTGCTACTGGAAATCAGTCTGAAATAGAAGAGAGCAATAAAAACAAACAGGGCACAGTCCCTCCTGAGCGCAGTGTCTAGGTGGCATCTGTTACAACCTAGACTACCTTCTTGCTAAAGTTTCCAAATTTCTCCTGAAGTAGGGAGCGGTGGGTTCATGGGTAAAGCAAGGACTTGAGCAAGGAATACTGCGAAGAGCATGTGCGCTTCTGTTGCTCTCTTGGACATGTTAGAGATAGACAAGGCTAGCCCCCTTAGCTAGCAGTGAACGACATCCCTCCCCATGGCTCCACACAAAGGCAAGCACTGGCTGGAAGCAGCTCTTGCATCATCTGTAATTTCTGAGTTGTCAGTCAAATCTACTTTTCCTCTGGGCAAGAGCAAGTGAATCACAGCAGATAGGGTGCTAAGAAAGACACCACCAAACTTTTCCTCAGTGGAAACTACCCCTAAGCTCCTCTCACACATGTTTTTAATAAGTTCAACTGAGCATCGCTAAAATGGAAGTTGTTTGTGTCCTTAGAATATCTTGTTCTACTCCTGAGTGTCACGGGCATGTCTAGGTCAGCTGTTCTACTAGAAAATTGCCCCCTTGTGAAAGAAAGTGTGTTCCCTTATCCTCACAATTCTCTAACAGGCTTTGGGGAGAAGTTATTACTTCCCTATGTTTACAATTTGTTAAATTACAAACCATGACTGCATTTTCATTAAGGAAAGAGAAGGCACACGTATTTTCTCTGCCAGCGTTTGCACGTGCAGTTTAGTTCGGGAGAGGGAAAGTACCATGGAGTTAGAAACCTTCTCAGCCCTTGACACAAGCTTTCCTTGTTTAAACCAGCTTGACCGCAGGCAGAGTAGAGAAAAGCAAGATGGGATTGTCATAGTGTCTCGCAGTGAGGGGCTCTTCCCATCTTGTAGATGGGAACCCCACATTCAGACTCTCTTGCACATAGAGAAATCCCCACCCTTGAAATGTAGCGACTGTCTCCTAGACTCTGCCCGCCATGGTATCAACACAACACCACCAACAGGAAGCCAGCACAAACACACAGCTCCTCAACATTGGTCACCTGAGCTCAGACCAAGAAGCATGTTCACACACTTTGAAACTGCATGCCTAGATAGCCACTTGTAAGTACAGTGTTCGGGGACGGAGCATTTATCCTTGGTGGTTTCTATTGGCAGAAATCCCCCGAACTTACCAGGAGTACGAGAGCAGTCTCACTCTGAAGATGTTTCTCTTCCAGTTTGTGAATTATTACTCAGCTTGCTTTTACGTGGCCTTCTTTAAGGGGAAGTTTGTGGGCTACCCTGGGAAGTACACATACATGTTTAACTTATGGAGAAGTGAAGAGGTAAGGACGTTCTCAGATAATTAAGACCCGCTTTTCTCCCTAGCACTAACTCAGAAATTGTCAAGATGTGTAAGTCCAGACATTGGCCCCACCCTCTGAGCAGTCTTCTCGTTAGATTTCTTTTCAGTTTCGGATGAGCAAGAATTTATACGGGGCCTGCCTTGCTTTGTTTCCCATGGCTGTGATAAACCACACTGGCAAATGCAACGTATGGGTGAAAGGGTTCAAGGCAATGGTGCATCGTGGCAGGAAAGTCGAGGCAGCAGAAACTGGTTACATGGCGTCCAGTCAGGAATCAGAGGGCAATGAAAGCCTGTGGCTGCTCAACCGCCTTTGGCCCCTGACACAGTCCAGGGTCCCATCTAGAGAATGACAACCCCAACAGTGGGCAGGTTTGCCCACCTCAATTACTCTAATAGAAATGGTCTTCCAAACAAACACCTGTCCGCAGACTCGTTACCCAAATGATTCTACTCTATTCTAACAGGGTGACAATTGACACTAACCATTGAAGAGCCTGCGGCCTGGCAGTGAACACAGAGTAAGGGGAGCAGAGCTTTTGTTCTTGAAGGTGTCCTGCCAAGTGTCAAGAGTCAAGAAAGGGCTCCTCTGTTAGACATGACCAATGGTTTTCAAAACCGATCACACAGAAAGTATACCATCTTTTAGTCGTAGCCCAGACCTCAGGGTTCATAATTTTCTAAGACTCAGAGGTCTGTATTTCCAACGCAGTCCACAAACGGTGTGATGCAGCTACCCTGTTACTAGTCCTCGGTCTGTGGGACTGAATGGCTCCCAAAACCCATCATTGCCCCTCCCGACCCTATTGTAACCCTTACTATATATATCTTTTTGAGTTTCTCATATTCTAGATGTTGCAAAATTCTGTTTCTCTCCTCTATCTCTATTTTCTCCTCTCTTATTTCTGAATAGTGTGATCCTGCAGGTTGTCTGGTAGAGCTGACAACCCAGCTAACCATCATCATGATTGGGAAACAGCTTTTTGGAAACATCCATGAAGCCTGTCAACCGTATGTATGACTCACACATTGCATGTTTGATTTGAATATATATATTTACATATATATATATACATATATATATTACTGTTATTGTATCTTTGTCAAAAAATGTCTAGGCAAACAGGAACAATTTATGTTTAATGAACAGGGCAGAATGCTTCTGGTAATACAGGCTTTTGTTATACTTATTTAATGGCCATCCAAGATTTTCTTCCAGGCCAGACAGTGTTGCACACCTTTAATCATAGAACTTGGAAGGCAGAGACACAGACAGATCCCTGAGTTCAAGGGCAGCCTAGTCTACAAAGTGAGTTCCATGATAGCCCTACTACACAGGGAAACCTTATCTCAAAAACAAACAACAAAGCTTTTCTTCTTTAGTTTTATTTTCAAATGATGAATAACACTCAACTTATACTCACTTGCATGGACATATTTACTGGCTGCAATGTGACATTTCAGTACAGGCTTTGTGTGTCTCTGTTTTTAAATTGGGTCACCCTATGTGGCTCTGGCTGGTCTAGAACTCACAACTCACAGAGATCCATCAGCCTCTGCCTCCTGTAGTGTTGAGATTAGAAGTCTCACACCTTATAGTGCTTTTAAGTGAATATTTCTGCTGTTGAGTGCAGCTGTAAAGATTTAACTGGGGATAAGTAAGGCGGATGGTGCCTGAGGAACAACACTGATGTTAATCTCTGGCTTCCATGTGTCTGCACACGCACACGTGTGTGCGAGCACACACACACACACACACACACACACACACACACACACACGAGCGGTACAAGAATGTCCTCCACAGGAATGTTTGAAATACAGGTGGGGTCTGGGTGTTGGTGTTGGTAGTGATACACAGAGTAGGAAGCAGCCTGTATTCATGTACAATTGGCTGAGATACTCTCATTGAGTCATGAAAACGTGTCCATTGTGGGCCAATGAAGTGACTCACTAGGCAAAGATGCTTGCTACCGAGATTGATGTCCTGTGTCTGATACCGGAAACCTATATGGTGGAAGGAGAAAAATGACCCCTGCTAACTGTCCTAGGCATGCAGGCAAGAACATGCACACACATGCGCGCGTGTGCACACACACCACACACACTCACACACGGGGACACACACACACAGCCCACACACCACACACACACTCACACACGCAGGCACGCACGTGCGTGCACACGCACCACACACTCACACACGGGGACACACACACGCAGGCATGCACGCGCACACACACACCACACACACACGCAGGCACACACGCACACACACACACAAATTAATAAATGTTTAATAAAAATGTAGCTTTCAAACGAAGTGAGAAAAAAAGATTTACCTGGGGAACTGATATATTAGATTCCCCAGCAGGATATTCTGCATGTTGCTTATTATACTTTTGCAATTTAAGTTTTTAGTGTAAAATTTGTGCTGATTCTGTGAGAATTTCCTACTCAGTCCATTCTTCCCCCTCATTTCTTCCACGTCTCCACCTCCCCCTCACCTCCCACTCTGTATTCTTTCAACTTTCCTTTTGCTGTGGTCCACCGAGTCAGCTTATACTGTGCATGTACTCATGGGTGTCTGCCCATCCACTGGAAGGTGGTCAACCTACCAGGGGCCACAGCTTTGAAGAAAACCAACTCTCCCTCTCCCAGAAGCCATCAGCTTCCAATAGCTACTCATCCATTGGTGCAGGGCTCACCACCCACTTCCCCACAAACGCGTACTTCTCCGCGCTAGAACGTTACATGCCTCAATCTTGCAAGCCCGTGAGTCCAACAGTCCTGTCAAACTGGGAAGACACCATTTCTCCCTCACCCAGTCCTCCTGACCTCTGTGTTTACAGTCTTTCTGCCTCCTCTTCTGAGATGGTGCCTGAGCTTTGGGATGTTGCATATATTGTTACTATTGCTAAAAGTTGATCATCTTGCTTTTTAATCATTGTGTTACATTGCATAGTCATAGAAACATTAGAGAATTTAGGAATTTAGGTCATTTGATGAGGGAGGGATTGCTCCCTCATCCAAAAGCACAACAATAATATATATATGTATACATATATACATATATATTACATAGATAGATATTCATACATAAATTAAAACACCAGCTGATCTCACGCACAGAGGAACATTTCCACCAATGAAAAGAGCAGGGATAAAAAGGACCTCAGCTTGTGTTGAGGGTGGGCACTCTGTAAGAAGCAGTATGAAGCCAGGGGTTAGGTTTATTTCCTATTCATTAGAGTTGAAAACACATTAATGGAGAGAAATGGTGTGTTTCTGTATTGGAAGACACAGCATAGAAACACTGTCCATTATTCTTACGCTGACGCATGCATACACTGTTATTTAAGTGAAAGCATGGGGGTTCTTGTCTGTACAGATGAGCAGATCCTACATGCTATGTGGGGGCGAAGAGACTAGAGCGTAAAGACAGAGGAGTTGCTCCCCTGATCTGAAAACTAACTGTAAGAGTTCAGCAATGACATGAATATACAATTGGAGACAGACTGGTAGTGTAAATAACGAAGGGAAATAAAGATGTCCAAATCTGTGATCTATACAAACATAACTAGTATTGCAAAAATAAATAAATAAATAAATAAATATTAAAAACCAGTTAAGCTTTCGTGTTAGGAAATGGTGAAAGAAATCAGACGTCCGTACACAAAATACAAAACTTGGGACAAACCTCAGTTATTCAAAAATAGCTCGGAACAGATCCTAGGTAACAAAACTGACTTCAATAGAGCAGAAGCGGTTTAGATGCAGAAAGGCAGCCGTCCCCATGGGAAGGCGCTCCCTGAGGAAAGGCTGGGATTCCAAATCGCCCCACCAACCCCTCCCATCCTTCTTTACTTTTTGTTCTCTTTGTGTTTCTGTTTGGATCTAAGCTATACAAAAATAATTATCCTGTGCAGTCCACAGCTGCTGCAGCTGTCCGTGTGATAGTTATTTCTCTGTTGATCCATTTGCATGTATAAACTATACCTCTTTGAGGTCTTATTCTGCATTTGCCCAGTTAATTGACATGAAAAGACCGCTCTCTGGCTGTGATGCTCTTGTTCATGTAGTTTGATGCCTCCCCTACCTGGCTGCTTATCCTTTTTTGTTTGCAGTAACGCTTCAAAAGCTCTAGCTATCTGCTCTTCTTTGCTTTCTTCTGTTTTGAGCGCACGTGCAGAGAACATTTTGTCCCACCACAATTCTTATCTTTTTGTTTTGTAATAATCTCATGAGGTTGCTCAGCCTGGATTTAGCTGGGGCAGCCCCGTGTTTCTATTTGCAATGCACGATAAATAGATGAATTCTTAGAGTCACCACGAGGGGGTGCTAGGCCACCACCTCCCTATTCTGACACCCAATGTCCCTGCAAAACCACTCTGGTTGAGAGGCACTGCTCTAAAAGCATAAAGTGCAGGCGTGGGAAGTCAAGCTGAACACCCTGATATTATTTGGCCTGCAATCTTTGGTAGATTCTGGTGTGTGTGTTTTCAGATCTCTGTGAATGTGTTTGGTATTTTTTTTCCCACAGACATATTCTATTTTATAACCTTAGTGCTTTTGATTACATTTATTTATTTTTATTAATGCTATTCACTTGAATGTGATCGTGTACTTTCTCACTTCAGTTTGGATTCCAAATGTCTTCACACCAATGAGGAATCTACCTCTATCTTGTCTGCTTCGCTCAAACTGAGCTAACTCAATTTCATTCGTGGCTGGTTATCTCTCAGAAGTAGACTTCAGAAGGGATTCGATACCACACGCTATGGCGTTTGACATTAAATCTACCCAGCACATCTATTGTATAAGTTGACTTCCTAGTTCAAAAACAAGCATTCATTCCTTGGCTCAATCCAGTCCTACCATGATCTACCTTCTACGGTATGGGCTTTGGCTGGCCAGTGGTTTGTAATATTATTGCATTTACTTAGACAAGCTTTTCCTGTCAAGTATATTTTCTGTTATACTCAATTTCTCACTTCTGCAAGTGTTCTCTGAGCACTGAAGAGTTGTGGAGATGCCCTGACCACCTCTCTCTCACGTTCTGTCAACCTGCCTGTCCCTGAGTGAGCTATGTACGTTTGAACCTCATCTCCTATTGTGCTAGCTTAAGATGCTTAGCCTCGCTTTCTGACAGTTTCCAGACCTGACATACCGGCTCCCTTGCTCCTTTCTTCAAGTGTCCATTTTGTCATTTATAACAGCTTAATTTTTAATTGGTGGAGACGCCGAAGAACCCGAACCCACTCTGAGAAACTATACAGCCGCTGGGAGCAAGATCATGACCTTCAGGTTTTTGGACAACTCGGGCTGTTCTATGAGTACTTGGAAACAGGTAATTTCCAATCATGGTTCTGAGGCAGCAGTAACAGCAATAAAATGGATAGTTTTCATGTCTTGCAATTTCTTTCTGTTTCATATATAGTAGACGTTTGAGTTACTAAATGAAAACATAGATGACTGGATGGATAGATGGTAGATATATGGATAGATGACAGACGGACAGATGATGATGATATGAATAGTGGCAGATGGGTTGCTGGATTGATGGATGGGTAGGTGGGCTATACACTTGTAGATGAATGGTGGATTGGATGGATAGTCATATAGATGAATATATGACAAATGTACACACATAAGGAAGAAAGAAAGATGGCGGGTATATGATATATGGATAGCAGATGGATAGAAAAAGACATGTGGATATGTGTTGGTGGAAGATAGATGATTGGATGGATAGATGGATAGATGGAGGAAATGGTTCAGTTTTCCTTCATCCCAGGGATTGAACCGAGAAGAAACACCGAGGTGAGACCTTAGAGAACTAGTCCTCGGGCTGTTTGTGTGATCTGCCAAGGGCATTTCTGCCACCCTGCTTTGGTGGAACTATAGGGGACAGTTTATATACTTAGTGTCAAAATCCTGATGCAACACAAGGGGATGGCCTGAAAGCTACTAAGTGATTAAATATTTATTAGATATGCTGTATATTTTATATTAAAATCTACCAGTGTGGTAGAAAACATTTTTATGCTTCAAGACAACCCGTTACCCTAGTTTACTTTATATTGTACGGCATTATTTGCACATTGCTGTGTAGAGAGATGGGAATTCATATTTCATGCAGCTCAGTATGCGATGAGGTGGTTCGTGTTTCATAGGGTGATGACACAGTGTTTTTTGCTCACTGCGGGAATTCTGAATGACTATGTATACAAAGACAGGGAGGTTAGTGCTGACACAGAGATGTGAGCCAACCAAGACTCAGTTTATACTGAAACCTCTCACAGATGATTCTAGTCATGAGATAGTGGTACAGTGTGCTCATTGGCTGGCTGTGTTTGCTTTGGGTGTTGAACATGTCGAAATTCAGTAATTAGCTTTCTAAATAAAGATCTGAGACTAACACCTCGAAACCCAGGCTGCCTCTCCCTCAGAGTAGTTATAGGTCCCTTCAGAAGAGCAAGGGGTGGATCAGTGTTGCTTGTACACTTCATAACAAGGCAGGTGGAAAGAGGTAAGGCCGCAAGTGGCGAGAGCGAGGTGGAGCGGCCCTTCATCTCCTCGGGAGTGATGGGCGACCTGTGTCTCCTCAGTGATCCAGTTCGGGTTTGTCACGCTCTTTGTGGCCTCCTTTCCCCTGGCGCCCCTGTTTGCTCTCATGAACAACATTATGGAGATCCGGGTGGATGCCTGGAAGCTGACGACTCAGTACAGGAGACCCGTGGCTGCCAAAGCTCACTCCATAGGCGTCTGGCAGGACATCCTCTATGGAATGGCCATTGTTTCTGTTGCAACTAATGTAAGTGCCCCTTCCCACGGGGTGGCTTTGCCCTTCTCTTTGTCCCTGTCAGGGTGGTAGAATGGGATGGCTCCTGACTCAATCCCCGCTGGCACCAAAGTCATCACAGCGATGGCTTGTAAGGTCAAAACACCCGAAACTTTATTTTCTGAGCAAGAACAATAGGAGGGAAATGGTATTTTCTCACTAGAGTTTCATGAGGCTGCTTTACAGACTGCTAATCCAGGCAGAAAATCAGTGACTATGTAACAGGTTTGATCAATGCTATCAAAGATTGATTACACACAAATGCGTGTTATATAAAGAACATGCTTATTTTTACTTACAAAAGTATTTTAAAAATTAAATTTAATGACCACTCAATGTTTTTTCAGCCTTCGTGTTCATCTCAATTCATGTTTTTATCAATTGGAGCTTTTACTGAGATAATCAAGAGGAGATTTGACAATGTGACATCGTGATTTATTTTAGAAAGCTTTACATAAAGGACACAGTGACTGAAGCGGTAGAGTTTAAATGCAGTGGAAGCATGAAGAAATGAGGTAGAGCAGAGTGGCAGAGAACTAACTCCATGGCTGGTGACGCTCTTTAAACACTAAGACAGGAAAACTGGACGTAAGCAAAGTGACTTGAGGCACCAAAGGAAAGCTCAGGGTCACAACACGTGAAGAGCGGCAATTCAACCGTGGGAGTGGGCTGGCCTGCAAGGCAGACTTTGGACACTGGACTGGGCTCACCATCGTTCTCTCCCTTTGTCCACCAGGCCTTCATCGTTGCGTTCACGTCTGACATCATCCCACGCTTAGTTTACTTCTATGCCTACTCACAGAATTCCACGGAGCCCTTGAGTGGATACGTCAATAACAGCCTGTCAGTGTTCCTGATAGCTGACTTCCCCAACCACACGGCACCCATGGAGAAAAGGGACTTCACCACTTGCAGGTGTCAGGGTTTAGCACTGTGCCTTTAATGTCTTCCTTCATTTATCTTTTTCCTAAGGCTTGTCTTATAGTGTGAAAGGGTTACTTGAGACAGCACATTCCCCGGGTTAATACCGTGCATCGGTTCTGAAGTTCACACATGGTATGACCAAAGGAAGGGCGGAATTATGAGAGGAGGTCATGTTCTCAAATAGTTTCTTGGTTTTGAATTATTTTTGAAAACGTTGCTCACTGACTGGGACAAGCTCCCTGGACTTGAGCCATGACATCTATCAGTCAGTATAGTTAATGAAGTGAATTCTACCATTTATCCTCAGGAAACATACCAAGAAATAGAGGAATAACAGTGTGACAATGGGACCAGTTCATCAGCCGTCATTCGGTTTAAAGGTTTTCTTCAGTGTAGAATGTATGAGGTGGGATTTATGAACTGTTAATATCACACCCAGTGTGGGGATCTTTACACCATAGAATATGAAAACAATAGTCAGTAAGCAGGTGACTAGATAATAGAGATATTATAGATAGATTACTGATGGAGGTAGGCAGGTGGTTGGGTGGATGAATGCAAAGATAGATAGATAGATAGATAGATAGATAGATAGATAGATAGATATGGTATAAGTAGATGACAGAGATAGATGATAAAGATGTATCAATAGAAATATAGAGATAATATATATATACATATATATATAAAAAGTAAAGATAGATGTGGATATATATATATGTGGATTATATATGGATGATAGAGTTATATGATAAAGATAGATTGATTGATAGATGATAGACATAAATAGGAGGATGGTATTGATATATGTTAAAGATATATATTCATAGATAAATAGATTGATAGGTAGAGATAATCTATGATAGGTAATACAAATAGTAGATCATAAATAGGTAGTAGATAGATAAGAGACAGACTGATAAACATATGCACACATATGTACACACAAAGCCTTTAATCTTAACTTTAACCTCACACTAACCTCTCCCTTGGGGATTCTAGGTAAGAGCAAGAAAACCATCTCAGGACAATAAAACAAAAACACTGATCTATGGCACATTTGAATACCAAGGAGTCATGGTTCAGTGTTCAAGACTGAGATATCTGTTGTCAGATTTCTTGGTTTAACCACTTTCTGAAAGTTTGGATGCGTTTTTGAAGAACATCTAGCTAGTTTGAAGAACATCTAGTAAGTTTGTAGAAAGGAATAATATGAAGGTCTGAGGGCAGGTAGAGCCCAGAAAGAGAACACTGCCTTGTTAGTACACCTACAAGGAAAAAGTCTCTGCAAAAAAGAAGTGGTCCACATAGCAAGTTGGATGGGTCAGACTGGAGGAGGGTTCTCTCGTGGGAGAAGTTGCACTGGACCAAGGAAGTTTGTCTGGGTTATCCCCTATGAGGGAGGTAATGTGGGTAAGTAACACAAGCATAGAGCTGTGAGAACAGGAAAGGGTTTAACATTATCTGTTACTTTCCTGTGACTTGGGTTTGTACTCCGTTTCCTAAGAGAAATAATAAAGGTTTACTCAAGGTCTCTTTAACTTACCACAAATATCTCTCTATCATCTATCTATCATTCTGTCCACCTGTCATATGTGTCTGCTGTCTATCTACCTACCTATGTGTCTATCACAGATCATTTATCTCTCATCTATATCCACGTCTATCTGCTTAATCTTCCTATCATCTATCAACCGTCATCTGTGTCTATCATCTCTCATATCTGCCTGTCATAGATCATCTCCCTCTGTCTTTATGCCTACCTATCTGTGTTCATTTCTGTTCTTTTTCTGTGTTCTGTAGGTACAGAGATTACAGGAATCCTCCTGATCATGAGAACAAGTATGTCCCTAACATGCAGTTCTGGCATGTCCTTGCCGCCAAGATGACCTTCATCATAATAATGGAAGTAAGCTGGCTCTCCCCATCTCTTTCGCCATTCCCCTAAGTGGCCGATTTTAAACACACCTGTCATCAGGAAGCCATTTTCCTCTGCTGTCTGTTGAAGGAATCATTTGTTGTCTAAAGTTGCAACTTCTCTATGGGAACTTACTGTTCTCTTACAATTGGTAAAAAAACAAAAAACACCTTGGCAACAGGAAAAGATAGGCAATGCACGGCAAGGTCAGGAAAGAGGCTGATTTCTAGAACTCCTGTTAAATGATACAGTCTTTTGATGTTTAATCACTCTCAACACTGAAATGGTGCATATTCATCAGGGTTTCACCTAAGAGTTTACTCAAGGTTCACATACTATGACTTTGTACATATTAGTAATGTTTGCTTCATGCGATCTGCTCCAAAAACTTTTCTTTGCTTAGGCCCATGGTCTTCCCACTCCTGCTCTTTCTCCCCCCCCCCACCTCTCCCTCTTCCCCTCCATTCCATCAGATTTTAATTCTTCTTAAATTTATTTCACATTTCCCACAAAAGGTCTAGATTGCTCAGTACTCCCCTGGGGATTGTTACCTTATTTTGAGGTTCATCTTTCAGGAACTCTCTGAAGAAAAGTTATAGGTGGTTTGTTTTTGAGACCTTGAATATTGAAAAATTACCAACAGATATTACAATCATGTGGTCTGAAATTAAAAGTCTGAAGTTGTTGTTATTAATTTTTTTTAATCTTAGCTTAGGCAAACTTCAAAAACATTTAAGACAGTGCTCTGTGTTTGTCCATCATCTAATGCTGTTATCAATGACAGGGCCATTTAGTCCCCTTCCTTGTTCATGACCTCAAGATAAACGAACACTGAACGTTCTATCACCAGCTCTGCCAATCCGAAACTTCACAAGCAAGATATTTTCTACCAGATAGCACCGTTGTTCTGAACACTGGCTGAGGCCCCTAGGTCTGAAACCATGCCCTTAAGATGGGGGAAGGGCAAGAAATGCCTGTCTCTTTGATTTCCTTTTATTTTTTTTTATTTTTTATTTATTTTATATAACCAAGTCCATTTAAATGAAAACAAACATTTATAGACAATATTTGGGAATTTGGGCATCGTTCTTTCCAAACTATTTCCTGCTGGTAAGGGGTGCTGTCATGGGGGATTCGAAGAAGATTCAGAAATCCTGGCTGTAGTCTGTAAGGCTGCTTTGTCCAGCTGTTTTGAATGTAGGATCACCTGGTACTCTGTTTCAGGTGGTCTGGCTTGATCAAACCACATTAGTCTGGAAGGAATCCACATCTTTTCATTTTCTGTGGAAACAAAAATAGAAATCCTTTTCCCCAGTAATTTGTTCTTGAACTTAAATTTTGGAGTCAAAGCATTTTTTTTATTTAATTTATTATTTTACATGTCAGTCCTAGTTCCCTCTCCCTCCCTCCCTTCTTCCCTCCTTTTTACCCTCTCTGCCCTCTCAATGCACTCTAACCACTCTCCCCTCCCATCCCCCCCACCCCAATTCCATATTAGGGGAATGCCATCCAGTTGGGGTCATGTAGATCTGACAGGTCATGTGAAGTAGGGCCTAGGGCTTCTCTCCTGTCTCTAGATTAAGGAAGATAAAATTGAACACAAAGAAAGGTCTAGAGAACTACAAGACTGCTGCCAAATAACAATTTGAGCTTCCGTGGAAAGGCTACCATAAATGCCCTTCCCGGAGAGTGAGATCAACAACTAACTTCTCCATGGAGCCCTCAACTAATGCCTGTTGGAAACAGGAGCAAAAACCCATACATAAACACTGAGTCGAAGTAGAACCCAGATGCAGATGGAGAAGACCAGGTGGCAGAAACACATAGAGTCAGCTTACCTGAACAAGGAGGAGCTAACGGGCCCCCATACTGATAGCTGGGAAGCCAGCATGGGACTGACTCAGACTCCCTGAATATGGGTCTCAGCCAGAAGGACTGAGCAGTCTAAGGGACCTCAGACAGTGGAGCCAGGATGTATCCCTGGTGCACTAAAGGACTTTGATTTCCTTTTCAAAAGTCCCTTTGCTCTGTTGTTTCTCTGTTATGATGTCTATCCTCCAAACTTCAGTGATCATATTTTCTTACCTGTAAAGAGCTGGATCCATAGTTTTGCTCTCTCCGTCAGCTCTTTTCCAGCTGGTTCTATTTTGTTTTGCTCTTTCTCTTTCCTGTTAGACATTTTATTGCACAGTAGACAGTATTGTATATTCAAGAATCAGAGGCTTAAAGGGGTAAATTATGAGCTTAGGGTACAGAAGTGTGAGCCTACCTTTTATTAGAAGTCCACAGAAGTTCAGTCGGCTGCTCCCTATCCCAGATGGGTCAATACAAAAAGAGTTGCAGGCCTAGCCTGCATGAAGCAGTGTTGGGTTTTGTTTCTGTTTGTTTTGTTTTTAATAGAGGGGTCTGGCAAGATGTTACCAAGTGGGTAAGAGTGCTTGCCTCCAATCCTGGCAATTCAAGTTGGATTTCTAGAACCCATATGATAGAATGAGAGAACTAGCTTCTCTGAGTTGTCCTATGACCTCCATGTGCCATCCACACACCCACATATGTACACAATTAATCAACAACTGATTTTAGAATGATAAGGAAAATCACCCAAGAAATAGATCCAAGCACACCCAAAACCATGGTGTTAGCTTCTCTAGAGGCTGTCACTGTTTATTAAGATGTCCCTTGTATATGTATTTAATTTGGCTTGTGTGTGTGTGTGTTGCCTTCATGTATGTATACTACAATATTAATGCAGTATCCACATAAGCCAGAAGCTGGTGTCACATTCCTTGAATCCAGTTACATCTGTTAGCTGCCCTGTACCAGGAATTGAACCCAGGTCCTTTGGAAGAGCAGCTGGTGCTCTTAACCACTGAGCCACCACCCAGACCTCATTAAGAAGAAGATCCTACCTAAGTAGATATGGGCTCCACGTAGGAGTTGCAATTGAGTTTTTGGGTCGTTAACCACCACAATGGCAATCCCAGCAGCTCTGAAGTTCACGCTCCAGAACGTACTAAGCCTTTGAAAGCCTTTCTTTCCTTTTGATACATGAGATTACAGGATGGTTCTGAAGGAGGTGCTTTAGGTGGGGTTATAATATGATGAGGTAAAACCATGAGCTCCTAGGAATGTGAAAGGGTTTCCTAGTGAGACTCCTACCAGTAGGTTCACGGATGAAAAGGGAAAGAAGGCCTTAGTGTTGGCCATCGTTTGGCCCTCTGTTCCCAGTGGGCCGGGGGCTTCTTCCCCTGCCTGTGTCCCCAGTTTTTGCTCTTTCTTTCCAGCCCACATTCAGTATTCTGAATTTCACATTTTAGAAATGTTGCTTTCAATACATTCCCCACCTCCACTTAACACCATAGCCTATGCCCCAGTGTTCACAGCTTTCTGGTATAAGGATAAAAATTCTTCACAGAGTTCCTGAACATTCTACAGCTTCTTGTAGAAATGCCAAACTGATGCTCTTATTTTCAGTTCTGAAAGCATCCTAAGAATCTAGAACAAAATGGCCAGGACGCTTTAAGTTTCAACTTCACATGAAATCACCAATTACATGGCTGAGTATGAGCTTTCTTACCTATTTCTACCTAATTTCTAAAGGAAATTAGGATGATTTTAGAGATGTTATATTAGATTCTTAGAGTGGGGCACAGATAAAGGGGCAGGCTTTTTTTTTTTTTTTTTTTTTTGTATTCATGTTGCATTTCTCTAGTCGCTTATTTAAATATGTTTATTTAATTTGATTTTATGTGTGAAAATTATAGGATACACACGTGCACACGCACACACATGGGCACTCTGATATTTATGTGTATATATAATTCAACTTAGTGCTTCCTGTGTTCAACAGAGTTTGTTAGATGCTCAAGGGGACCTTTAAGGACTCCTTGCTGAATTCTTGATGGTCCTAACAGTATTTCTGATCTTCCTTTATCATTCTTTTAGCACATCGTGTTTCTGTTTAAATTTTTATTGGCCTGGATGATACCAGATGTTCCAAGAGATGTGGTAGAGAAAATCAAACGAGAAAAGTTAATGACTGTCAAAATTATTCATGACTTCGAGCTCAACAAGTTGAAAGAAAACTTGGATTTTGAATATGGTACCATTAAGGATGACATTGTAGAAGACAACAGATCCGTGACGGACAAAACCTCCATCTAATCCACACATAAGTCAAGAAGCTTTGTACCCTTCTCTTTCCACTGTTACCTCTGGGTTTCTGGCTGGATGCTAGAGTCCATGTATCCATTTGTTTTTCTTTCTTTCTTTTATTTTTAACTCGAGTCTTTATGCACTTTGATAGAGGCTGGCATCAGAAGAAAACGCAGGCAGGCATCATCCACTGGGCTCTCCCAGGGTGTGACTCATGGGGTCCTGTAAACACCAGCAGGTGGTGCTGGTGGATTCAAAATCTGGGAAATCATGGAGTGTTGCTACTTAGAGTGAAACCCTGGTCTGGGGGGATGCTCTGTTACTTCCCAGGGCAACTGTACATCTCTACCGTCTTCTGTTGAGTGTCTTCCATCTGCTTCCCAACAAGAAAAGGGTCATATCAAAAAGAAAGCTAGCAAAGGGGCCCATCATTTCATAGAACATCTACCATTGTAAGGTTCACAAATAAAAAGACAAAATCAGATGTCTTGAGACATCTCCCCAATTGACAAATGCTGGTTAGAAATCATAGCAGGAGAGTGCTCTTGACAGTGTAGGTGAAAGTTAGCTTCTGACAGGATCCCAGATAGCCTTTCCTGGTAAAGGAAGGATCAATTTTTCCATGAGACTAAAAGAAGTTTCATGAGACTTTTAAAGGTAGCGTTTCCATTTTGTCAACTAACTTCAACACCATGGTGTCAGGTGACTACAAGTTTCTAAGCGAAGGTACTATGTGGAGCCAATGTGTCTACTTAGAAACTAAAGAAGGCAAGACAGTGCATAGACATTAACTTATTCAATGATAAAGTGGACTTTTAAATTTCTCTGAAATGCTGACTTTTGCATCATGAAGCCGTTTCAAGCTCTAGCAGTTTGTGTAAGTTAGGCACAAACTGTTTACAAAATGTGATCTCTTTGCTTAAAGAAACTCCATCCCTTGTAGTAGGTTTTCAGTCTTTTCATGGTTTATGTCACCCATACAAAGTCCAGTGTCTTCTTTCTATGCCTTTGACGCATGGGAAATTATCTGGGTGACTGTTAATTTGATATGATAGAGTATTTCAGAAGTCAACTTGTCTTAGAGAAACTGTCAGTGTTGTGAGCACAGAGTTTATCACCAAAGACAAGCAACCAAGCAAGAAGGTGATAATTTGGTGGGAGAAAAAAAAGTATACTTGTTGAAGTATCCCATCCACATTTATCCTATGTGGATATACAACAATTCTTGTCATTGGTTCAGTTAATACAATATCACATATGTACCCATATATAACTTACCACTAGAGTGGGAGATATAATCTAGCTGTAGAGTACTCAAATCTTCAGGTTTAAATTAGAATTCAGCTACAAAGGAATATTTTTTTAAATCACATACATATAAAGAAACTTGATCACAAGATTTTTAAACGTAGTGTTCCCTTAACAATAACAGAGTCTTACAGCATAGCTGATATTACAGTATTAACTAACTACTGATAGATACTAAGTATCTAAAACTAGGGATTATGGATTTTATAAAAATGACAGAAGAGTTAGCACATCACATTATTGGCGATAATGATTTGTTATATAGTAGGTAGATTACATGTTTGGGTCACTTGAAATGATTTCACAATTGAAAGATAGTTTCATATGTAGAGATGGTCAGTTTAAGAAAACCAGTCCTTTAGGGCATGATCAAGCCATAGCTGTGGTTCTTGTAGACTGTCAAATTACACTGTCATTATGGTACTTTTTACACACAGGTCACGCTGCTAATTTCTTAAAATTAGCGAGGGAATGATAGGTTTTTGGAAATACACTTTAGTTTTGTGACTTCAGAGTACCGTGGAGTTAGACTGCCAGATGAGGACAGAGCTGACTTGAAAAGCTGCCACTACACTGCAGGTTCAAAACCAACTCAAGCCCTGAGTGTCTATCGCAGAAATTAGCAAGACTGGAATCTCTTCTACGGCAAGGGCTTCTTCGTTTTTGCTGGTATTTTCTCTTTATGTTTGCCTTGTAATTTTCCACTGAGTACTTTCTTCTTGTTTCATGTTTTGCCCTGAGATGCTAGAGTCACTTTCTGGAAGGCCTGTTAGTGAAAATCAGGTTGAGTTTGTGCAGGCAGACCTGCCTCATTTCACCAGCACCCTGGTTGGTGTGAGAACGCTCTGCTAGAAACAACTGACCACAGGACGCATGTTCAAATTTAGGAGTGTGGCTGTGCTGTTTTTATCCTTTAGTCAAACAAGTAGTTTACTATTTTTCATTGATATTCCAGGGAACGTTTGAGATCGTATGTGAAAATAAGATCTTCAAGTGACAAAGCCCCAAAACACACAACTCATTTCAAAGGTCCTTTGCAATCATCATCTTCATTGTTTCTTCTTAAAGAGAAAGCAAACGTCCTTCAAATTACTTCGTTTAGACTTTCAAGGGGGGAACTGACATTAAATGAAAGATGTCTTAATTTTGCAGTGTTTCTGAACTACTGGATTTCACCATTTTGTTGTTGTTGTTGTTGTTAAGAGCAAAGACAGAGCTGTTTCCTCTGGGTTCTTTGGGGTCCAGCTGTGGGTAGGAAGATGTACATCTCTCCTCAGTGCCAGTTACTAACGGTGAGAGGGTATATCTGGAGACATTCCAGGTTGACAGTTATTGTGTGTCAAAAGAAAGCCTTTGCTTTCCAGTAACAATGATACTGGCCATTCAAAAATATAACCTGTTGCTTTGGACAAACCTCTCACAGTTATTATGTAATTGAATGATGCCGTGAAGAAAAACATTGCATTGCCAAGCTTTGGACTCTGCTGCAAGGAATCAACGGAACTATCGTGTTACTGTTCTTGCGATTTTAATTGACTTTTCCGTGTAGTAATTAAAGTATGTCCGTTATTTCAGCATTATGTAAAATTGATGACAATTTTTAAAATGTAATGTATAGCACAGCAGAGTCTGAGTGAGATTCAACTGCCCATTCCTGTAAACACAGCATCAGACACAGGATGCAGCTCTCCCGATACAAAATGCTGTGGCCTGAGGTTAACTCAGAGCAATACAAGCTTGCTTTTCCCATTCTCCCTCCCTCCCTCCCTTCCCCATCCTCTCTCCCCTTCCTACTTTCCTTCTCTCCTTCTTCTTTTCTTCCTTCACTTTCTCCCTCTTTCCTTCCTTCCCTTTTTACTTCCTTGTTTCCTTTTCTTCTGTCTGAAAGGATATTTAGGAAAAAATGTCTTTACTTACAGACCCAAACCTCAAAAGCCAAATCACTTAGTGATTAAGGTAAGTAAATAATTCCAAGTATCTTGAAACAAATATCATTTCTTTTCTCTCCATTTCATTATTTGAGAATTTCACACATGCATACAATGTGCTTTGATTAAATCCATCCCCTCATTCCCTATGCTACAATTCTTCCTTATTCCAATCACTTTTCCTTCCCAACTTCCTGTGCTTTGTTTGTTAAACACCCCTGATTCAACGCTCTATGAGTGAGCGTGCGTGTGTGTGTACACACACGCACGCACACACATTCTCAAGCATCCTTGAGCAGACTTTGGCTTAGAGCTGAGACAATTTCTGAAATCAGGAACTCTTGATAAGGTATTACATCAGATGTGTTTTTTGGCAGAGACTTCTGAGCACACCCCACCCTCAGGGTTAGCCCAGAATGTCACTGTCCACCTGTAAAGTACAGAGCCAGTCAATAGCAGCTGCTGATCTATAGAAGATGCAGATGGTGGAAGCTTTCCCCAGATTGCCTCCCCGGACTTTGGAAGGTGTTGTTGGGGATGGATGACAACATTGTAAATGACAAATCTGCAGCTGAAGCACTTTGACAGAGAGCCTTGACCAGGCAGCCTGGACCACCGTGAGTTAGGTAAAGTCACATAGCATCAGGGCAGCCAAGCTTCTGTTGCTGCTCTAGTCTTGTCCTTTGGGTACATCTGGAGACTAATGGTTTACAAGCCTTACTTGTCTAGCTTGCACTTATTAAAGACACTATGTTCATTTCATTCAGCCTATACATGTTTTTAAAGTACAGAGTGATTAGAAACTCAAGGGATTTTATCACATTTTTTTTTTTTATGGATCAAGCATAACTATCATGCAGGGCTTAGATAGCAAAACAAAATTACCAATATAATGGGGAAGGTGTTTCTTTTGAAATTATAGAGAGTCTGGAATGAAATGTGGACAAGCCGGAACCTGCAGGACCACCTTGTGCAGGCTTGAAACAGCAGATTTCCCCAATTCCTGTACAAGTGACCGTGTCTTCTACTGCTTGCATCAATCTGTAGTCGGGTTTCACTGATGGGAGCCCAGGGCTGGTCAGGAAGGGACATGAGGCTACAAGAGAGCAAACAGGCTAGATGGATGGTGTGTGCACTGTACCATGTGGATGGTGTGTGCATTGCACCATGTGGATGGTGTGTGCACTGTACCATGTGGATGGTGTGTGCATTGCACCATGTGGATGGTGTGTGCATTGCACCATGTGGATTGTGTGTGCATTGCACCATGTGGATGGTGTGTGCATTGCATCATATAGATAGATTGTGTGTGCATGCACCATGTGGATGGTGTGTGCATTTTACCATGTGGATGCTGTGTGCACTGTACCATGTGGATTGTGTGTGCACTGCACCATGTGGATGCTGTGTGCACTGTACCATGTGGATGGTGTGTGCACTGTACCATGTGGATGCTGTGTGCACTGTACCATGTGGATTGTGTGTGCATTGCACCATGTGGATGGTGTGTGCATTTTACCATGTGGTTGGTGTGTGCATTGCACCATGTGGATGGTGTGTACATTGCATCATATAGATAGGTTGTGTGTGCATGCACCATGTGGATGGTGTGTGCATTGCACCATGTGGTTGGTGTGTGCATTGCATCATATAGATAGGTGGTGTGTGCATTGCACCATGTGGATGGTGTGTGCATTGCACCATGTGGATGGTGTGTGCATTGTGTGTGCATTGTACCACATGAACCTTCAAGAACAGTCACAGAAAGATGCC